AAGGGGGGGGGGGGCAATTCGAGGATTTACAGTATAACAATTTTCATTTTCACTCAAAATATATATATGCTGGTATACAAGCCGATAGTTTATCAAAACCTTCGCTTAATTCTCAAAGAATTGCAAGTACTTTTGTTTTTTTACAAGCTTGAAGACTCTCATTAAAGCCAAAAATTGGGAAAGTCAAGATGGTTACTCACCATCAGTCCGCTATAACCTTCGTCACCAGGGTCTCCCTGAAGAAGGAACGTAAGTGATGTAGTGATAAAAGTTTTTTTCAAGTATATAGGCAAAAAATATTGAAAAGGATTTCGGCAAAGCGGTTACTTCCTTACTTTAACACTCGTATATCTTCAAAAAATTCTTCTCGTATAAATTATTGATAAATTTAAATTCAATGAACAGGTTCAAGATGACAAGAACAAGATGGCCATGAAAAGGAATCTAACATACCACTGTTCCCTTCTTCAAGGGGATGTTGTTAAAAATATTACTTGCAGGCTCTCCCTACGGAAAGAAAATAAAACAATGTATATGGATGATAAAGCACCTGACATTAAAATTAAGAGTGAAAAGATAAAAGGCGCATCAGTTATCCTAGATGCAATTGGTAGCATTAGCAGTAAGGTAATCGCTGCCACACGAGCTGTTTCAAAAATGCACGGTTGAATTCTTCAGGCAAACTAAACGATTATCGATAAGTTTCTTGGTGATGGTCGTTGTTTCCTGTGTCAAGAATGTTTTTTGTCCAAGAGCTGGCACAATGACTAATTTACAGCCAGTCTTCTGTTTCTTTTTGTTTTAGTAATTGTTCTTATAGTTATGTTTTATTCTTTATTTTTGGTAGAGCATTATATGGGTTTTAGATTAACAGTAAAATTGTTATGTTGAGTACGGAGGAAACTCGCCATCATCATGGTTTAGTCTCCAGCTCAACAGTAGTCAAATCTGGGTTCTGTTTTCTGCAGTACTAATGATGATTAAAAATCTGGGATTAGTGAATTCGATTGGATTCTGCTGCAGTCTTAGGTTTAACACTTGACTCGCTAATCAACACAACAAATCAACCTAATGCGATCTAGCTAGATAACAACCACAAAAATGGTTCTCACCTTAGGTCCTCTTGGTCCAGCTTCACCAAGTGGTCCAGCAACTCCTGGGAGACCATCAACACCATCAGGTCCTACATCCCCCTGGTACAAAAGGTTAAGATTCTTTACAGGAGCTGATTAATAAATACAAAGAAATTTTTACGAGAAAGTACAAAAAACCTCTAATTTCAGGAATCCTTTAAATCTTTAACGTAAAAAGCGTTTAAAAAGAAAATTGATCAAATGACTCACCGGTTTGCCTTTGATTCCGCAATCTCCGGGGCGCCCGGGCCTACCTTCGACACCAGGAACTCCCTTCGGAAAATACACAAAATTTTAGAGTAAATATTTACTAGGATAATAGCAATAGGATAAAAGAAAAAGGACAAAAAACAAATGTTTCTTATTTATAGTTTGGCGAGCACTTTTCAGTGTATGAAGTTTATACAGGAAATATTAATTTTCACATACCGGTATTCCATTTAGACCCGGATGGCCGGGCATTCCTTGAAGTCCCTACAGTAAAAAAGAACACACGTGGTCAATTTTGTTCGAGGAGTTCGAATCAAATATTTTATAACCTCTCCACGTAGAAATATTCAGCGGCATCAGAGTCAAAAGGAGAAGACAACCTTGAAAACCTTAAAGCTAGCTTGGTGTCTTTTGGTAATAAAGTACAGGTATATCATCTTGCCAACAACACTTATTTGCAATGATTTTAGATTCTTAATCTGGCTCAATCTACATTCACATTCAAGTCATTCCGAGCATTGCTAGGCAGAATAAAAAACGCTATACTAACCAAGTCTCCTCTTCCTCCTCGAGAACCTTGCAATCCTGGGTCACCACGGCTCCCTTTTGGTCCTTGTGGTCCGGGTGCACCAGGAGGGCCCTTTTGGACAAATATTTCATTCTAAGTTCCAGAAACAGCAATATTGGAGTGCCTTAGGCGTATATACCTCACAACAAAACTACTAATGACAATTATAAATAGTGTGTATAAGGCGGGCATAAAAACAAAAATTATTGTAAAAGATTACAGGTTGACTTATTCTATCATAGACCTAAAAGTTCTTTAGAAAGTAAGAATCGAAACAAATATTTGGTCAATAATTTAGAACTTTTACATAACAAAAAAAACTTGTTTACAAAGTTTTTTCAAGATTTATAAATTACTTATAGCAAAACAATGTAATTAAATTTGCTTACGTTTTCTCCTGCTAGTCCTTGCGGTCCAGGTGGCCCGTGTCGTCCCTGCGGAGGTAAGTTACGGATACAATCTTAGAAGACAATGTGACTGGTACTTTATATTAAAGCACACGAATATTGACAAGGAGATAAAAGGAAACTGAATCCAGACACAAATGACGTAGGAGGGCTTTTCTGAGGACTCGAGAAAATGAAAGAAAAATGAAAAACAGATAGAAAAAGATGAAGAGTTGTAAATAGTTAACAGATTGGCTTCAAATTCTGAAATATAGTAGATAGGAACTTAGCAAAAAAATCAAATTTCTCAAAGATTATCAAAAGAATTTAAAAAGACCTTACCATGGAACCTTTTGGTCCTTTTATACATTTTGGAGCGCCACATTTCTATAATTAAATACAAAATTAAATGAAACAGCAAAAAGTTAGCTACCATTAAAACAGGAAACAATCTAACACAGGATTAGAAGAATGCATTCTTTGAAATACGTTCTGATCATGACATTACATTGTTAAACCTGGAGATTGCGATAAAACTGACTTTCATTGTGAAAATCATACCGTGTTTTCTGTTTTAGTTTCCTCCGTAATTTTTCCCGGGGGAACAACTGCTGCTGCTGAATCAAAAAATGAAATGAAGAATTAAAAAATGAAGAAATAAAAAGCAGAAATCAAATCGATGAATTCAGAATAAGATCTTGAAAGGATTCCTTTAAAAGCACAAAAATGCAATTGCAGTTCAAAAGAAAATACAATATCAAGGATATTAAACTTTATAAGTCCGAGTAACGAAAAACCTACGTGCAAAGCATGCGGTGTCGGCGACATCTTGGGAATACTGCTTCATATTAGAGAAGGTCTTTACCAAGAAGACACGACTGTTGCCATTTCCGTAGTTTGTTATTGTCTCTAAGGTTTTAATTTCCTTTAATGGTCCGACACCAAGTGCTACGAAATTGACACCTTTTGATTTCAATGCCTTGATGCTGCCCCGCATACCGCTGATTGCTCCGATGCCGCCATCGGTAATAATAACCATAAGCTGCGAAAAAGCAAAAATGACGTCATACAAAGACATGGTGGATACACTGGCCTCGATTCGAGTTAGGGTAAAATTGGTTTTTTTAGCCATTTCTAGAACGTTTTCACTATGGTATTGTAGATCAAATTATTCGTTTGTTAGACCAAAAATGCCAGACTAGGGAAAAATGGTCCCTTCTTCAAAGGACAGAAAACAACGACATGTTAATGTTTATAAAGTCCAAAATAATGTAGCACCCCAAAATTGTCTTTTGTTGTAATTGATTTGGCGTTGAATACCATTTTGTCCTTTGTGTGTGCCACAAGGCGAGCTCCGGAGCAGTTTGGGCAGGAATGGGTCGTTAAAACCATCTAGTGATTAGCTAGGCGCTCAATTAAGTCAATTAAGTAGAAAATAGAAATCTAAAACACCTCCAAGGTGAATTACCTTAAACGCATACTTGCGCAGTCCATTATTCTCATTATATATACCCTCGTTTACGAGATCAAGAGCCAGGTCGAGGCGAGACAGCCCTCCGGTGTAACGTATCTTTCCTAGTGAATCTATTGCCGGGCGCATGTTTTGTCCGGGATAGTCTTTAAAGGTCCATTCTACATTAGCTTGGGTGCCGAAACATACAACTGAGACATGGGTCTGGTCTGGTCCAACATTGAAATTTTCCATGGTCCGAGCGACAAACTGCTTCACTTTTTCAAAGTTTTCAGCACCAACGCTATCAGAGTGATCCAACACAAATGTCAAATCGACTTTACGACGGCAGACTATGGAGAGACAGAAATAAACAGATTACTACTACAATTGATTTGATATTGATTTGATAACGGGATTCCATGACGCTGTTTTCTTTTTAGCTTTGGTACTTCTTTCACTTGCCCTTTAGCTGCCTTTTATCTGCGCAGATTACAGTAAAGAAAAGGGAAGATTGTATCAAGACAAACCGAAACTTTAAAAACTGTAAAAACCTCATTTAAAAATAAAATACAGAAAAAACGCGGCACGTACCACCTGGTCTTTGAGTACAGGTCCTTCTGCATCCATCAAAACAGCATTTAGATTCTCCATAGCACTCAAAATCCGTTTTACACTCATTGTTGCTCAAAAGGCAGTCATTTCTTTGCTTGGTAACAGGGCATGTCCCAGGTTTCTCTGAAAAAACATGAAATCATCAAATACTTTAAATGCCATTAAATAGTTGCATCGCTAGAGATTCAGTTAGTTTCATTGTTGATTCGCTCATCTTGTTTGGTTTCACAAATATCAACATAGACTTTAGCTTGAATATCCAGGTAATTATCAAATGTACAAGAAATACATGACTCAATCACGAAAAGATTTGTTACTTCGTCATTATGAAGTTCATTTACAAATATTTGAGTACACCTGAAAAACTGCAGCGATATTTTTTTAATGAAATCACAAATCACACGAATTAACATGATAGAACTTAAAAATCTGCAATTATATCTTTATTCTCCTGACTGTTCATATGCCAAAATTTACATACCTCTGCAAATTTTCTCGGTTATACCAAACAAACTTGGAACCAGTTCGTCAAAGTTCTTTCCGGTGAAAATATAATCTTCTGGTGGTGTTGAAGCGAACTTTTTCAATTCGTAATGGTTGACCTCAGGTCCTACCCCGACTGCAATGACATTTACTCCGAAATCCTTCAATGGTTTCACGGCAACACTGAGGTCCTCTGAGCCACGATTGGTGCTTCCATCTGTGACAACAACCAATACCATGGGTCGTCTTTGCCTCACATATCCATCTAGACTGAAAATACTCTTTTTAGCTTGTCGCAAAGCCTTGTCAATCCTCGTGCCAGTCTTCATGTGTGGCAGGTTGTCGATCGCTCTTTTGATGCTTTCAGCATCATCGTAACGCACTAAATTAAACTCAACTTTAGCATCTGTGCTATACAACAGAACCGAAAAACGTGCATTGCTCTGCGACACAGCGAAGGAATCCACGATTTTCTTCACAACCTCCTTCATGCGGATGTAAGCAAAGTCCCTTATACTACTAGAAGAGTCCAGGGCAAATCCGATTTCAACAGGGACTAAGCAATCTAGAAAAGCAAAGAATCGGTATGTTAGTCTACTACATATGGGTAGAAACAGTATCAGAAACAAATAGCTTTTGACATCAAAGCAATTCATTTAGTGCCAACCTATAAAATGCTAGTCCTAGGCCAGTTTAGAACCTGTGTCCATTGGCTCGTGATTGCCTATATTCCCTTGTTATCTGAGGCGCCTGTTTCTGGGAGGACTGCATAAATGAGAGATTGAATGTATTAACTTTTTCACATCATTATGAATACAGTTAAAAAGCTAGGTGCGACAAACACAGGGAAAAATATGTGGACAAAAACATTTCTTCAGTGATGTTAGCCTAGCATTTCTATTTGGGGCATGGCTCTCACAAGAAATATATTTTGGCCCAGGCACGAAATCTTTAGTGGCATTTCAGAGGCATGATTCTAAATAAAAATGTATGTTTTGTCCAAGACACGGATATTTCCACAAATTTGTAAACTTATTAATCACGAAAAATGCTCTTAAAACCAGAAACAGCAACCAGAACAGAAGAGAAGCCCGCATAAATAAATATCACCCCGGAAGGTTATTCATTCACACGGGAATTCTACACAGCTGCGGTCAAATATTGGAATATCGAAATTAAGCAGACTTTACTTGATGCAAAAGACGCCGGGAAGTCCATATTGGAGCCTGGCTTTTAAATAGATTTGCAAGTGCGGAAACATTGCGACATAGAGGGGCGAGGTATGATTGCAATAAGGATAATATATTTAAATTTGAATCATTTCCTTCTTCCGTAAAGATATATTCTTACAAAGTTCAAGTGCAAGCAACAATGATATAGCTCATTCAGCCAATTGCTAAAAGATAAAGTGTGTTAGATTCCACGTGAACGATATGCTGCCTGTACAACTGCTAACAATTGTTACTTATGTCGCTCCTAGTCACCAGGACAATTTATGACCTGATGTTGGATTTTTAGGTCAGATATCCCATTCACCGTACCAACAAAGTATTGGATTTCAAACTGATAAGTATTTTGCGAATAACCCTAATCAAATGTATAATAAAAAATCGTTAAAATGTGTCTATCCCACCATTTAAAAGCCATTAGAGTTTTATCATGTTAGTCATATTTCACGAAATGTGGTGCGAGAAAAGGCGGTCTACTTTCTTAGGCAACGGGCGCGGAAAGTGTTGCTCTGTGTTTTTCTGCAGGATCCCTCGAGTCGGAGCTTATTAACGCTTTCTTCCGAATAAGTGTTTCTTAACCAGAGCAAAATCATCCACTGGACATGAAAGAATGGCGATAGCGATGGGGATGACGTCAACGATGATGACCAGACAACAAAAAGAGTTTTCAAATGGAAAATTATTTCAAGACATTGCATTCAAATCCTTAATAACTTCTCTGCTGGATCAACATATCAAATCGCAAAAAATCGGTTGAAGTAGGTCGATGGGCAATTAATGACTGCACCACAATCAGAAGCAGGCAAGAAGGCCTTTTACTTTCAAGGAGCAAAGATTTTCAATAAACTAACAGACGAAATGAAGTGTGAAACTTCAATTCTAAGATTTAGGACTTTTTGTAAAAATTTTAACTTCGACTTTAAAGATTTCATTTTCATCATGTATATAATTTTTATTTCGGTAATCCATGTTTATTTTAGACAGGTCCTTTTATTGATAACAGCACGTTGTTGCTGACCAAAGTTAACCTGTATAAATATGATATTATTATTTTTATGGCTAATTAAGTGATTCACAGATGTTAATTGGTCCGGATAATATAGGAGGGAGCAGTCAGCAACAAGCTGACAAAGGTCCCATTCTGTCATCTCAAGTTTACATAGACAATATTATTATTATTATTATTATTATTATTATTATTATTATTATTATTATTATTATTATTATTATTACCATGTGGAAATGTGACATGTGCCAGTGTGAAAATATGACATGTGCCAAAATGAAAGTGAATAATATACTTTTCTGAAATGTCCCGCCTTTACAAATATTAAAAATAGAGATACCTCAGTATTCTTAAGTGCACTTTTCAGTTCAAATTTGACCCTTTGATGGCAAAAGCCCAAAAATACTCTTACTGCCAATATTGCAGAAATTGCACGGGAAATTCGTAAATATCGTAAAAGGATGCCTACACCTCCAGTTAGTAAACCCTTCCATTGTTACAATTTTGTTGATTTACATCAAACCTTTCTCTATTTTTGGCTGTCTTGCGTTGAGTCGCAATTTCTACAACGTTTATGCATTGCATACCTCGAATAAGAGGAATGCTGTCAATTAACTGTGTTGATGACGACGATGACTAAAATTATAATGATGATTTAAAATTATGATTAATTTAGTTTAATTCAATTTATTATAGTATCTTGTATTTAAGTTTCGGTTGGCTTAAATTAGCACGTGAGCTAGCAATAAGAGCCAACCTTAAATAAAGAAATTATTATTATTATTATTATTACTATTATTATTATTATTATCATTATGATTACAAGCATGGCTGCTAAAAGTGGATACAGGGTTTACCAAAAGGGTAAGGTATTGCGATAAGAAAGCAAAAACTACTCACTCAGAAGTGGAAAGACGCATTTACGGCTGCAACCATTAAAACAACATTTTTGGGTTCCGGGGCACATTCTGTCGGCCCCACATTCATTCACTTCATTGTCAGAACATGTGGCAGTTGCAGGAAGCAAGGGGCACTTTCCGCGTTTGGCTGCAACAAAAAAATATTAATTCTTTAGGGTTTCTCTGGTATTAACAAGTAATACAAATTCCACAAAATAACACGAAAGATCACTTCGCAATAACCAAAGCGGCCCAAAGCTACGCTAGCATTCCTATACTAAACAGTGCTGTTCAATACTAAATATATCAATTCACCGGTAATATTCGGGTATAGTATTGAAACTTATTAGTGAGCCATGTTCTAAGGGTTATTTTTCCGTTTTTAAGGGGTATTGGTAATTATCAGAGATTGAGAGGGATAAAAATCTAAAACGGCGGGCGGAGGATCGTACCGAGGCTTCATATTCAAAATACCCATAAGATTGTGGCCTAAATCGTCACATTTAATGAACAGCTCTTCAGCCTTGCCAGGAATCTCTTCTACCGCAATCAAATTAACCCTGTTTATCACGAGGATTAAAAAATGCACGGTTTTTTGGAGGATTTTGACTATATAGCTTTCTTTGGGTGCTCAATAATTACAAAGTAACTACACGATACAAAATATATTAAACAAGGGATGCAGACACGATAACAGTCGAAATAGGTTTCCTTCCCATTTTTGCAAAGAGGAAGTGGCACGAGATGCTTTGATAAATAACATTCTGTTCTAAGAAAACCGATACCAATGAAAAGAGGCTGCCATTTCCTGCTCTTTTCGAATGGTTTTGAAATGAATCAGGAAACCCATTTAACAGATGTGCAGGTCAAGGAGAAAGCGACTTAAAAATACTGAAAGGTCCTACGAGGTATTACCGGCCAAATGCTAAAATCAGGGCAGTCGATCTCTGACAACAGTTGGGAAACAAAAAAACAATATTCTTTACTCCTTGCAACATACCTTACTGTGCATGCGATTAAAATAGGATAAACGACGAATCCGCGAAGATTTTATGAGAAAATAGAGGAGTGGATCGAAATGTTTCCTAGGGGAACTTTGACTTTATCATTGGTGTCAAATCAATGACTTTGAAAAATTAAACGCTTCACGAATTCAGAAGTTGATCTAAGAGTTAAGGTGGTTAAAGAATTAAGGTGGTTAAAGACTTAAGGATCTTCGTACCACATTAAACGCAAATCGCGTTGCAATGGAGTCTTCTAGGGTCGAACTAAGGCAACCTCTATATAAAAATTGAGAATCGAACATTCTGTAGAGCTGGAGAATAAACACTAGCATACTAATGGAAAACTTTGTGACAAGGGACGAAATTTTATTTTAATTTCTGAGGACGATCTTTTGCTATTAAAAGGCCTCGAAATCTTAAACTTACCTTGACACCCTTTGTACGAAAGTTGTTTTATAACAGTTTTCAGTTTGTCTAGGCCATCAACCTGCAGAAGGTGTTCTGATGGAGGGGATGAAACAAACGAGTGGATTTCCTTAATGTCAACTTTATTGCCAACAGCAATGGCGAAAATGTTGACTCCTTTAGCTTTCAAAGCGTTTGCAGGAATTGAAACATCCTCTTTGCATGCTGTACAATTGCCATCCGTTAGCACAACTAGAACAAGAGGTACGTTTTGTCGAATACCCCCTTTAAGAGAGAACATCTCTGTGTTTGAGAGTCTTAGAGCGTCGTCAGTTGCCGTAGTGTAGCCAAGGTAAGAGATGTTGTCGATTTTATCTAAAAGAGTGGCCTTGTCAAATGTCTCGTCTAAGCGAATAGCAACTTTAGCAACATGGCTGAAAACAATCACTCCAACGTGTGTTTCTTGAACACCGATTTTAAATGAGCTGACGAGAGTTTTGGTAAAATCTTTGATCTTCTGGAAACCTCCAGTTTTCACGCTACCAGATGAATCATGTGCGAAGACCAAATCAATAGGCTGGAAGCATTCGCCTAAAAAGATTTTTAGAGATATATTGCACACATCATGAAAAATGGTATTTATTAAATTATCATTATAAAGTAGAATGGGAAAATAGTATTTATCAAAATAATTATTACAATTAGAATGGGAATATTGCATTGATACACGCCGCAACAAATGAAACCTGAAAACAATAAAAGTTGAGCCGATTTTTACAGAGACTATATAACTGACAAAACTTGAGAACATGAAAATCCCAAATACCTGAGACCTTGAGTTCAAGTAAAAACCTTAGTGATTTAGACAACTTCTGAAAAGACTGGACAGAACAAAGATCCTTGGCTAGTAGTTAGGGTTCCCGGGGGGGAGTTCATACGGGGTGGAGTTCATGCGGGTTGGAGTTCATGCGGGGTGGAGTTCATGCGGGGTGGAGCTCATACAGGGTGGAGTTTCCAGGGTGGGGTTCCTGGAAATGAGGTTGAAATTGTTTTCATATAGTTTGAGCAAGAAATTGAAGTGTGTTTCTCCCAAAAGTCTAGATCTTGTGATTGTTGCACCTAAATATTATTTTCTTGCAGACGAGTAGACGCGTTGAAATTTAGAAAGACACTAACCGTTACACATATTTCTTATAAGTCTAAGTCAAAAACTTCGATATATATCATCCGGGACACTGATACACATTACATTACAATTTTCAAGGGATTAATAGCTGGGAAAGGGAATCAGTGGGCCTTTCTGATGAAATGAGGGGAATCAATACTTTAGAGAAATATTGACAGACTTCTTTGGACCTCACAACGAAACCACATAGTAATTAAGTTAAAAAGGATCGTCACTTACTTGGGCATTCGCCCTCTTGGGCAACTGTAATTTCCTTCTTCTGCAAACAAGCTTCAGCTCTCATTACACATATGTTCGCATATGTCTTGCCATTGGATCCACAGATTGGCTTATAATCTGCCGTGCATTTGATGTTGCAAGCATCTGTTAAATTTCAAAGAATCGATATGAATATAACACAAAGATAATACGGTATTGATTCGATTTAACACTCCCTGTGGAAGAAGCCCTCTCTCGAATAAGCCCCCTCTTGAAGAACCCCCCTCTCGAAAAACACCCAGGAACTTTTATATCGCATATATTACCATACACCATTGCCCGACTTATCAAGCATCGCGGAAACTCAAAATTTTGTTTGAGAACACATGAGACATTGTAAAAATTATAATAAACATTCTAACTCTGTCAAAACGTAGCCCTCGTCCTATCTTCAGGGGTAGCAAAAAACGATCTTAACTCCTGCAGGTTTAATACGCTCTCGCCTCAGACCCCAAGCTTCTCAAAATGTTGATTATAGGAAACTTCATATCTACTGGACGATGAAATCGAAATTTGAAGCACTTATTTTTTATTTCAAACATAATATAGCAAAACTTGGCGAAAATGTCGTTAAATTGGATGAAAATACCTGATTGCAAATTCTTAGAAAACTAAATCACAGTGTATAAATTGAGCAATCGAAATTCTAAGATATCCTTTATAATTAAAAATTCAACCTTAAAGTAACACCGTTTTCTAGGCTTCTGAGATTGGATTCAAACCTACCATTGTCGCAAGATCCTTTGCTTGCTACTGTTATGACCTTCCTGCTGATGCATGACTCCGACCTGAGGACACATTCATTGGCATATGTGTTGCCGTCAGATCCGCATACGGGCGAGAAATCTGTCGCACACTTAAGGTCACATCCTAGAACGAGAAGAGACCGAATTTTATTCAGGACAAGAAAAACAGTGAAAGAAACCTATGCGCTACATAAGTACTTTACTTTGTATTTTTACAAAAAGTTGGTTGGGTCTTAGCTGGTTAAAACAGTGCTTAATGCCATGTAGTACATCCTGCTATATCAAATACTTAGATATCTTTCAAGTATGCTGTAATGAAACTATATCGATGTAGGAGTTCTGAACAATTTCCGAGAGACTAGATTAAGATCGAGTTTTCTCAAATAATTTCTAGGACACTTTTCTGTTTCCCTCAAAACAATCAACAAAACGGCATCTCCTCGCATAGTGCAAGTTTAAGCTCGTAGTTTATGCCATATAGGGCCAGGGGCGGATTTAAGCAACAAAGATGGGGGGGGGGTGTTAGACATTAATTTTGGTGCCACACCCTTCAGGTCACTGGTAAATGATGGAAACGCCCATTTTTAAAATTTGGTTTTCAACTTTAAGGTAGAGATGATACAAAGCAGTGGCGTAGCTAAACTTGGAACAAAATCCACGAGAAGCATTTCAGAATCCAGTTTTTTAAGGATTGGATTGCTTTAGCATTTTAGTTTCTTTTTTTATTGGGAATGTCTCAAGAACGTGAAGAACTTTTTTATACAAACGAGGGGAAAGTGTTGAACATTCTGTACATATATAGAGGGGGGTCTCCTGCGAGATCAGTGTGACCAGATCTAGCATGATATTATGCTTTTGGCATAATTTTGGCCAAAACTCGTCCTTTAGCATAAAATCTAGCATAGTTTTAAATCTAGCATAATTCTGGCATAATTATAATAATTGATAAAAAATCATTTTTTCGGTTGAAAAGAGATCGGTTGTCGATCGTAACTGCATACAAATACATTACACCCGCATGTGTGGCTATTATTATGTGAGTAAATTGTGACGCCATCTTATCGTAGAATTTCAGTGTAAGGTACTGTCTAAGTTGGCACTGATGATCTCTTAGAAATAGCTCTGTCAGTAACAAATATCATTTTACATATACACAACTACATATGGATAACTAATTTGCGCATGCGCTAGCCTCTTTCTCAAATAGGATAGCCTTGATTTGAAAGTTAGCATAATTTTTGTAAATCTAGCATAATTTTATGACAATCTTGGCATAATTCTGAAATTGTGATCTGGTCACACTGAAGGATCAGTTTTTGTGCTGATACGAACATCTTTATAAGAAACCGCCAATATGAAAGGGATGAAAATTTAAAAAAGCATTGTAACGGTCATAAAAATATGATTCTGATAGGGGGGTACCTAATTTGTGGCTCAAATGATGCAGATACTGTAAAAGCTCTATTAAACCCCCTCTCTGTAAGTCCCCTTCTCTTTTAAGCCCCTTTTCTATTAAGCTCCCCTTATCAAGAAGAAATTTAAATAAGCCCCCCTCTCGATTAAGCCCCCTCTCGATTAAGACCCCTCTCTATTAAACCCCCTCTTTAGCCCCGAAGTCAAACAAAGAAAATATATGCATTGAATGGGTCTCTTAACGGGTGTGTTGATGATAAAATCGTGTGCATTAAAATCGGCCCATGTGAAGACTTACTTGTGAACCTAAGAAGTCAGTCGAAATTTGTTTAAATGTTCTTCGGGTTATCAGTTGATCCTGGTGACTCTGAGGACGATCAGGACATTCTGGTCGATTTTAAGAAACTTTTGAAGTTGCCAGCAAAGTTTTTTCAAACATTTGTATGTAATTTTCATGAAAAGTGCATAATGCCACATTGAATTTTCAAAAAGGCCCCCTCTCTAATAAACCACCTCTCAATTAAGTCATCTTTAGGACTGAAAAAATAAATAAAACCCTTGGGCTTAACAGAGATTTTACGGTACAGGGTCCTTTCGAGAGAAAACAGAACTATATACTTGAGGCAAATACCGAGACAAAAGCTAAACATAACAGCGCAAAATCAGGAACACAACATCTTGATAATTTGGTTACAGTAGGCCGGACTCGTTTCTTGATTTTGTTGGTATTTGCGTGGAATCAAACTTCGTTGAGCAAACGGCTCCTAAGCAGAACCCAGCAATTAAACTCAATCGTTTCTTAATTTGTCTACACTTCAGAAAAACAAACAAGACCCCCTTTTATGACCCGAAGGTGGCATCGCTTTGAATTGTTAGTCTATTTCCCAGGGCCTGAGAAACAGGCGACCAATTATAAATACGATTCAATACTGAGTAAGCAAATGTACTTTCTCTTCTCTGCTCTTTGTTTGATATATAAAAATCAAATCTTCCATGCTTGGTCTCCGAACAATAAACAAAGACCTCTTTTCAACTGCATGGATTTGCAAAAGGCGGCCATCGACAAACGCCCTTCCTTCAATATTACCGCAGTTGACACGAACAAACGTCTTTCTTTCACTTTACTTCAAATTACATCAACCTTTGACATATGAAAGAGATTTACGAACCGGAAAACTAGCGCAGAACCAACTTAATAAACATAGCAAAAGTTAGGCTTTTTGATAGGGGTTGGTTTAGCCTCCCCCTCCCCCACAGCACTACGCTCTTCACCCTTGTGGATACGACCATCAAGAGCCTATGACGCTGTCCCAGTAACAAATGTTGCCCAAACCATAAAATCCTTCAGATTGCGACCATAACAATATTTTCGTTACCAGTCCCTTCAAGTTAGGTTGCCATATCAAAAACAGGCCACAGGGACAAGCCTTTATTAATGTTTAGAAAAACGATCCATCTGGAACCGAAAGCACAAGCAACCAATTGATGGACCGACATTTTGAGGTCACTTTCTATGTCGCAGCTGTCGCTGCAAAAGGGGTGACATTGACAGTGTAGTTCAAAATGCGTTTCTACAAAGGCTCTCCCCGTCCCGTTAATCGAAATGTAACGATATGAAATGTTGTGTCGTGAAGGGTTAAATAATTTCCACGTTAATATCCACTTCGGTTAACAGTTTACTAAGGCAAATCACACCATGGCTGGGTTAGAATTCCTTTTCATAAAATCTCCATCCGGCTGAGCCTCAGTTTTTTGGGTAGGTGTTTAGCTAGTGTCCATCACGGAAGATGCCGCAGACGACGTTGCTTTTTATGTTTTCCTGCGAAATTTGTAAATGAAAAGTGCACCATGATCCGGATTACAAGTTTTTTAGAGGAGATAAAAGAAAGGAAAACCTTTGTTGTTCTCTCTTTAAACATCGAATTGCATTGATGTCTTTTATTTAGATATAGACCAGACAGTTGAATGTCAAGCCACACGGAGCGATTCACAAACAGGCTTTTCTCCAGCACTCCTATCTTGTACATCCTAAGTTGACAGTTAATGGCTTAACGCAACGAAAAGAGACGAACAGCTCGTTACGTGCATGAGATTGCGGTGAAACTCTTATTCCTTTAGCTCTCGAAGTACGAATAAGCCACGCTAATTCTACATTTTCAATGTAGTGAGCAACGCGATAATTATCAAACAAACGTAATTTTTCCTACTTAGAAAATCCTCGAAAAAAGTGAAAAAAAAAGAAAACAAAAATGTTCCAATCAAAAGGCGGAGATTTAAAGGAATTGTTACTGACTCTTACATAAGGTTACTTCCTTGGTCTACGCGCATAGGTATTTAGGGTCTATGACGAATGTAGGATAATTTTTACCCAGTCAGAAAAGCGACAGGCAATGGTTCCAGCAGCAAATGGCTGCAGAACAAAACCATTTCATTCAGAAAATTCTATGATTCTAAACAGTACAGCCTTTATACATGGATTTCCACAATAATTTAAAAAGAATAGCAAATTTGTGGAAATCTAGAGTAGTCAAGTTGGCCATAGTCAAACTGATATCAAATAATTAACTTTTTTTATCTTTCAAAAGAACGTTCACAAACGCTCATGTGTGGGCAGATAAAGAAATACCTAAATGTTGACATTTTTCATCTCCGCAAACCCAATATTTTGGCACGAACATTGAACAATTCAATAATCCACTGTTTGGTGCCCAAATGTTGATCGGTTGAATGCAGTTGAACATTGGAACATTAGTAAGCATCATCTCACTGAGCTGGGTGTTGGCAAAACATAGACTCGTATTTAGATGTGCAAATGAGTTCTTTGCTAGCCTAATAATGGGGTACTTAGGTCCAGAGATTTCAGTATTAGTCCATACCATTTCAGTTGGAAAACGTAAAAAGTAATTGAAAAGCATATCTTATCATATAACCCTAAAATTACATTTATATATAAATGAAAGTATAAATTACATTCATTACAATAATAAACAAATAAGTCCAAAAAATTAAAATGAGTTTAGAAACCGTCCAAATAAAACTTTACAATTGTTGAGGAGAAGAACTAAATTTTGCACCATATGCGCATGCGCCATTAAATCGATTACGCTAGTGTCACATTCTGGTTTATATGATGCAACCATGATATATGTTATTGATTAAATGCTATGAAGCGCCATGAGATGTAAATCTTCTTCACAAGCCTTCGGCCAAATGCGCATGTGCAAATGATGCACGTTGCCATTGGTTTAAATAGCCCTAAACAATAGCCCTAGACTCGTCTTCCAAACAATCCAAGGACGGCATTTGAGGCTCTGGTTACATTATATCGGATTCAATTCGAATTCGATCACTTTTCAGACCAGATAGGCATTTTTAGCGGACACAGCAACACTTGAATCCGTTACGATCCGTATAGTTCTAGCGGAGTCAAACCACCTCGATTTGTATGTGGTATGGCACCCTATCGGTTTACTGAAGGTCTTTGGGTTACTCTTCGACACGTGTGCACGCATGAATCTGATACTCTTTAGCTATGGGGTAGAGATAACTAGCGGCTTCGGGAATAAACAAAGAAACTAAGGCATGGCTCTTCCTTAGCTCCTGCATGTACAAATTCCTTTAAGACCTGGAGGGGCTCTTGAGGCTTGGAGGGGCACAGGTGGTAAGCGCCAAATTTCTCTAAAAAGGGGCACTATTCCAAAAGTCTTGACAAGGCTGCTTCTTATTGAAGGGGCTTTTGTCTGAAAGTTGGGGCACGCGTCTCTGGTGCTCACAGTGGGTTTTAAGACATCGTTTAGCGCGTTATCTACGCAACGCCACACCTTACGCCATTTTCTTCATAGGCGGGCGTCGTTGCCACTGCAAGACGAAACAGCTTCTGTCTCTCGCGCAGTTATTGTTTCCTTTAGCAGACAAGATCTGCAGATTTTCCACATTCTAGATGTTTTGTTTCCCACGGTCAATTCTTGCTTGCTTTCCGGATTTTGCTCGTTTGCAACATGGGTGCATCTTTGACAGCAAAATCTAAAAATTCTCGTTAACGAAGGGCCTTTTATCTGAAGTTCGAAAAAAATTTGGAAGGCAACTCGAAACAAAAGAAAATCCTCAATTCAGCCCAATTTCCAAAGCCTGGTTCTTACAATTAAACTGTAAGAAAAAGCATCAGTAAAATTTGAAAGATTTTTTGTGACTAAAAATAATTAATACTTATTGCATTTTTAGGACAGAGGTTTATAACTTCGACACTAGCGTATTTCAAACTTGTTTGTGTAGGAGTAGAGTTCGTTGTATTCAAACTTCTCGTAATTCCAGTTTCAATTGGCCTGAACCAATTTTTGACATAAACTTGATCAAAAATCTCATGAAGAATGCTAAAGAATTTCGACTATCCTGTGTGGTGGCATATAATACTTGCAATTAAATTCGTTTGAACCATTTGAAGTTTCACAAGATAAATTGCACGAGAAGACCATTAGAAAACTAACTAGTGAGTCAACTCGATTAAAATTTTCTGAAAGCATAGATAATCGAAAAGATGCTCAATTTGTATAAATTAATACCTCTTACACAAATAAACAATATTAAGTGTTGGTACTTTATTATTCTGATGCTACTATTTAAATCTCTCGACTATTGCACTCATTCTGTCAGGATAAAGCTGTATGACTGATAAGGTCTCCCTTTGAAGTGCTACTGTATTGAGTTTGCAGTGCTACAAAATCTTTAGGCTGAGGATTTTCCTGCCCTCAATCTTCGGAACAGGCAAGACAAGACCCGTACACTCCTTTCTTTGTACTCTCTTTGCCGGATGCTGACCCACATTTTGTTTGGCAGGGATTTATAATTAATTGTCGGGGCAAATTCTTTTGACATACACGAAAACACTTGCGGTGTGATTCCTTGTATTGCAAAACACGATGAAAAAGGAAGACGAAATAATCACTGGGTGGAGGAGGATGGGCGGGGAACAGAAGCGGACATGCGTGTCGAATGAAACTGAGTCAGTCAAAACCAAAGATTCCTTCGGCTATTGATGTTGCCAGTTAGGTGTCGACAAAACAATGAAAGTGCTGAATTCTCCTTAGATAAACAAAGCAGAAGTCATTATGACAACTCTCTCACTGTTCGTATCCACCTAATTCTCGACGTCGCTATTCAAATTCGCTTGCGGTTCTAATTTCCTCGGAGAAGCGGATAATGCGTCAATGGCTTCTCGAGGAACAAAACGACGTACGATTTACGAAGTTTGTTTGTTATTAGTGTCTCATTTGGGTGTAATTTGCAGTGGATTGTAAAAAACTTTTTCGGTCTCATATCACATTAAACGTCATAAGATGAGATAAATAGAAGATTAAAAAAGTCTTAATCCACATTAAAGACTTCGTTTGTTTTGAAATCACGTAATTCTTCAGTTTCAATGAAATTAAGTTTACCGTTTTCGTCCTTGCACGCAAGAAGTTAATTTCAATAAAAACTGTGAGTTTTAGGACTGAGAATAACTTTCTGTCAGGCGAAATTCGAAAAGCGCGGAACGCTTTAGGCGAAATCACATCCGCATTGTAAAGAGACAAGTAAAGAGTTGTCCTCGCCGAAATTTATTTTAAAACATTTGAAAAGAATATCAAAGTCATTAAAACCCAAGAAACTGTAAACGATACTATACATTGAAAGTTTAAAATAACTAAGATATTTTTGATATTGTTTCTTGTGTTATAAGCCGATTGGACACGGCGGCTTAAGGCCCGTAGCCGCGGCAGTTCCGAGAATCCGGGGGTAGCATTGATCACCATGCAGTTACTTTTCTATAAAATTGTGTGTGATAATGCCATAATATATGGAAAATAAAACGAAAATCCGACTACTTGCAGGTCAAAAACTATTTAGGATGCGTTTTGAAGCACTTTTTGTAAGTGAGGTTAGTGCTCATTTCGAGAAAGCAAACTACACACGGGAAAAATGTTTGAATGAGCAATATCCGCGTGGAAGAGACATGCTCGCCAAGTTCGCTAGAATAACCATAAATGTGAGAAATATGCATGAACCGAAATCAAACTGTTTTTACTTATTAGAATTTACTAAAAATGGAACTTACCTTGCGAGGTAATCTTTTGAAACAAAACCAGAGCCAGCCAAGCCGCGATTGTCACAAAGTTAGTGGTTCGCCTGCCCATCTCTAGCGCGCGAACTTGAAAACGTTGACTAAACGTGAAACTTTACTTCATAGTTCTTCGCTGAACCACGAAACTTTCAGTGAGGCGTTAGAAAAGACCTCTCTCTTGGCTGTAAGGCTGTCCCTCGCTTCATACACAAAACAGGCTATCGGTATTGTTTAGCTTTTGGCGAATGGCGATGTTCAGCCCAGAATTTTCAGAAAGGAGGATTCAGCACAGCGGAAACGCTCTGCTCGTTTCCGGTTCTTTGTAACCGGCAGATATGTCAGACCACTTGCAACTGAAAACCGGACTCGGTTGCTGAATAAATTCTAATCGGATTTTAAGGGGAATTACAAGATTCTAACTGCTTTGGAAATCATACAAATGTCTATGTTTTTTCATCAATGATCTCTTTAGCAAGCAAAATGGCACTGCTTTATTTTTGATGAGAACAACTGTGATATCAGCCAATTTAAATACCTCTTTAGAATAGTAGATATCTTTATTGTCAGCAGTAGAAAGTATCCCTGCATGGAGGGGGTTTTATAGTCAAAAAAATCTCGATTCCCCTCAAGGCTCTTTGCGCTTCACAGGGGTTTGGCATTCTTTAAATAATAGTATGGATTAATGGCGAAATCAAAAAACTCTTATGAATGGGTAAATTGTGAAACTCTCTCGAACATGAAATAATTGGACTATCAAACATAAAATGTTTGCAGTTTCCTTACGTTCTGATAAAGTCTTTCGAAATTCAGGACTAAGATATCCAAGCTGCAAGTGGCCAAAAGATCATTATAAGTAAGCTATTGATAGAACTGAAATTCAAAAATTCTGAAACTCAATAGGTGTGAAGGATTGTTGGCAAATACATTTATATATAATCCCTCTTCAACCTTATCTCACACGCTGGGCTATGCCAGTCCCTTCTGTTGGATTTAGATTCTTAAAATGGAAGCTTCAGGTCAAGATTCATGCTATTCAATGATAAGCTCAACGTTTTCTTTCCTCTTAAACATTTGAAAATTAGGATTCACGAAGCAGGAGTCGAACCTAGCCATGCAGTTCCATTTAAGGTGTGCCCAGAATCAAATATATATCTGTTAATGAATAAAATTATTACAGAACTTTAAAAAATCCGGCTTCCAGGTCGGTGCCTCTGAACGACGTTAAAACTGTAAAGCAACCGGTTACTGTCGCTTAAAGAACAATTTAAGAATAAACTTAGGCTCAAAAAAGAAAAGATTTGAGAATATTGAGGCTCAGCAAAATATTAGGTATTCTTATAAAATATGTGTATATTGTTTCAAGGCCAGCACGTTTTGTACAGTACTTTAATCATGGGCTCCGATATATGTTAAAAAGTGGGGGGGGGGGCAAGGAAAAGTTTAGCACTCGCAACAAAAGATTTTAGAGAAAGTTCTATTGTTTTGCAAAAAAGTAGATGGGGGCCATGGCCAGGCCCCCGGCTCCCTCTTCGTCGGAGGCCCTGTTAACCAGCACGTTTGGCTTGGTGATAAGATCTTTTCTGTTAATATTTGAATAAATTTATCTTCATTCACAAATCGAGCATTTAACAATTCAATAAGGCAGAAGGAGAGGGTTATCGAAGGGTTCCAGGACTCGACTTTAGCAGAAATTAGGAATTTTGCAGTACCATGATTGTGATTTCTCAGTTAGCTTTGCATAATTGGCCTGATCATGTACACATATTTGCTAGATGTACGTCGAGACTTTTGCCTTAAGGGTGAACCTCTAATATTTTAAACGACTGAAAAATGAAGGTTACTCCCTTTTAAAATATGTGCTTTGATAAGTTCGTTGTCTACACAAAACCAGTTATATCGAATTGGCACCTAATGCGGTCAAAATGAACACTAGGCGGGACATAACTTGAAATCAACCAGGGCAGCACCCTTCCTACGCCTAGAGTGTTACCGGAAAATGTGCACCACAGCCCAATAACAAGTTTTCAAGCAGGATCCGTTCCTAAAATGGAAAAAGGTTAATATTCGCGAGGAAATGGTTTTATAGAGGGTCTTTAATTAGGGCACCACATTTGAGCTAGCCATGCGAAGTCGATGGTAATTCTCTTCGCCTCGACATTATAATTTTACAAACACCAAGGGAATCGCATCCCCAGAGGAGGTCCTTGGAAAAGTTTCCGGTAACCAGGGCATCCTCTCTAGATACTCGCCATCAATTGGTCAAAATAACAAATACTGTTACCGGCCTATTGTTTCAAACAATTGGGAAGCGGACACTGGGTGTTTTCGTTTTGTATTGGTCGGCGTGTCACTGGTGAATCTGGCCGTCGCCTATCTTCAATCCGAGAGCTTCCACAGCGAAACAGAACAACACACTTCTGAGGCTCCTGGTCACTCATATTTAGCGCGTTCTCTTCTCTTATTCATGCATGACACAGTAAAGAGAAGATTTTGAAAGCAAGCGTTAACTGAAGGCCACTTAATACTTTCTCCGAGAAAGTATTATACGGGTATTCTATTGGCCACACTTGCTGTATTCCAATGAGGTCAGTATAAAAAGTTTGGTTTTAAGATGTTTAATCCCTAATTTCATATTTACAAGAATTAATTTACTTAAAAGTGGTCGTTCATAGCCTTCGAAACTTATTTTGTTAATTTCTTTCAGGGAAGGCACGATGAAAGTGTTTTTGGCGCTATTATTCTCACTTCTTAAAATTTCGAACGTGCTGTCTCAGGTAAGAGAAATTCTTTTACTCTTTGAATCGATCAACTTGACCCCCGGTTTTCGCATGGTAAAGGTTACCGTGGCCGTAAGATGAGTGCACCCAAGCTAAACAATCATCAGTTCTTCTCTTATTCCTACGAAAAGCTCGTTTTATAACAATTATTGTTTGACTAAAATATATTGAGGGTAAAGTATCAATAATAAACAGTAAAAAGTATTTTTCTGACATGTCTGAAACTTCGTTCTGCCTCCAATTGCAAGTCAGAGACGGTGCTAACAAAACTTTGCTGTGCATTTTGCTAAAATTTTGATGTCTGCCCTGCAGTGAGAATGTCGCATTCAGACATGAAAATTGTGAAAATTGGATTTGGTAAAACCATGAAAACATGATCATTGGATTTGGTAAAACCATGGACTGGTCGGTCCTTGACGGTTTCACGAGCGTAGGTCCGCTCCGCGTTACTTGCCATCGCAGACGGCCTTATTCCAAGTTCCCCAAATTTAGCCACTAATCAAACAAATTATTCAGTTTAGCTCCTGAGCGGTAAAAAGGTTGATTCTATAAAGTTCCAATCACATTGAGAATGTTTTTAACGACAGTCCTCTTGTCCTGGTGCCTCTCAAGCAGCCCTATCTTTGGTCTGGCGGCTACAGCCCCGATGCAACCGCCGCGGGTATTGCGCTTTTTCTCAATTAACTCTGATTTTGCTTTTAAATACTTCAGTAGACCTGTCTGATCTTTCGTGGTTTCTGGTTTTCTTAAAGTATCCCGAGTTGATGCTTTTGTCTGATGTTACGTAGGTCAAATAATTACATTTCGCTTGGCTGGGTGTTGATATTTCTCCCTACCTTAAAACTTAATACAATACATACCATAAAATTTTTTTAGCAACTTCCAGTACTACAATAGTCTGGGTGGTAATATATTAATTCTCGAGTAAAAATTGAATTTCAGTTAATATTTGGGCCTAAAATTCCTCTGAAATCTTCATTCGGAGACCGAGACAAAAATTACGGGCGTGGAAAGGTGTGTATGTATTTATTTACACAAACGTAGGTTGCCACTGTGTTGAAACTTAAATTCGACTGTGTCAATAGAAAACATGTTGTTTAAAAAATATGAATCCCAGTAATCCGGGTTCGTTGAAAGTCCGTGAAACTCGTTCTAGAGCAGGGCCGGAAATTTTCAGGTCGTTTTTTCATCTTGAAAAGACAGGCATCTCTTGATGAGCGGAAAGGCCGAAACCTGTCTTGTGAATGCAGCCGCTTTCTTAAAAGCGACCATCCCCTTAAAGACAAGGTAATTAAAGTAAAGAAAATCTGTCTCATGAGTGCTCCGACACAAGCCAAGGGTGAAGTTGGGGGTCAAGGGCAAATTAAGGGACCCACAATAAAAAGCTTTCTCTTAAAGGGACCGCCGCCCCCCCCCCCCTCCGTCGTCGGATGCCCTGTATCAACGTCTTCACTTGGGTGGGCTTGAAAGGCTCACACTTGTTTCATAAAATAACATTGTTATGAAGTGTGGCTAGAAGAGGTGTTCGATTTCACCAAATTCTCCATTTTATTTTGAAATGATCTATGACATGAAAATAGGAAATATTTACTTTTCTACCGCAACAGTCGGACGCGGTAGTGATAAATTTGGGCAGCCAAAAATTGTCTATATTGAACAATGAAGGCTTGCCCCTTGAAAAGTATTTCCCAACACTACACTAGCCCTCCCACCAGAGTTTGGTTTATTATCTCGGACACAGATCCCTTCACGTGATGTTTTTGTTCTGTGTAAAAAAGTTTCATATAATTTATTCGCTAACCAGCTAAAAGTGGTTGTCACTCAAGATTTTTTGAACTGATTCTGAAACTATCTGAATTGATTGTTATCGAGACTCCGCAGGTTTTGGCAAATTCCTTAGTGGGTTGCCCTACGGCCAGTGCTATTCGATTATTTTAAATAATTGAAATTCCGAGATTGAGACCATTTTCTCTGGTTTGCCTCTCTCCTATGTAATTTATAACCGCAACCCAAAGTCTATTTCGGTAGACATAACACTTCTAGTTGAAATATCTGTAGCTTTCCATTCTAACCACTGCCTGACGTGACATCATATGCATAGAGACCGTACGGCTTTTTTACTCTAACTTTCGTTTATTGTCGGTTAAACTTCAATTGTCATCAATATCGAGAAAAAAATCATAATTGTTAAAATTGGACAAGGATGACTAGTATGTTCATTGCTAAATTAAAGGCAATCGACGGATACAAAACCATCTATCAATTATTAGTCAGTTTTTGAACATGTGAGTGGAATCGCACTCACTGATTGGTAAAATAATCGTTCTTTGAATTGAGGAGTTAAGGACCTTCCGAGACGTCAAAATAACCAGTCTTGAGCTAAAAGCAAAATTTTATTGTATTTTGCGATCTAATAATCCTGCTTCGATACATTTGGGTCTACGATACATACGATCTAATAATCCCAAAACGCTCGTGTAGTATTTTCCTTCTCAGGTTGTCCCATTGTAAAAGGGGAGGAAGACGCCGCCGTGCGATCGTGCAATCGCACTCTTACGATAACATTTGTTCGTTTAGATATGTATAGAAACTGTTATTGTCCGGAAGATTTAGAACCAGAAGATGAAATTGACTCATCTGCGATACCCAACGATTTATTGCTTTTCAACCCATTTCCTGGAATCAGGCGAAGTCATCGACTGGAATTTTCCTGCAGGACATGATTCCATTCTTGAATCAAACAAATCCGATACAACTCTTCCGTTTCCAAAGCCGCAAATGGTTTGGGTAGGGCTGATGTTTATGAATAGTTCTTTTGCTCCTCGGTCATTAGGCCTCAGTATCACAATTGTTTGTTGTCCTGCGAGGATGAATTGTTTATGAATAATAGGAGAATAACTCTCTTGTTGAGCAGCAAAAGGCTGTCCGATTTCCTCCCCACCCTGCTACCTCATATTTAAAGATCCTTACCCCGTTTGTCAGCAATTAGTGGGCAATGCTAATTCAATTCACATAAATTCTATTCATGAGATTTCAATTTCCACATCAAGAGATCGTAATTGTATCAAGACCATGCTCAAAGGAACTTCCCCATTAAAGGGCAGGGTTCGTGCTACGTTTGTGGGAGACAAACGTTTGTGGTCTTTAATTTACGTTAACTATGTACATGGCTTCATGTTTAGCATGTGAACTAACGAAAATTTTAAGTACGTCAAAAAATTTTTTATTGGTTTGCACGCCGCACGCCGAAAAAAACCTGGGTGTACGCCGAAGATCTTCGGGCCTAAGTGCATGGAATGCACCCTGGGATGCATTCCAATCTCAGCATATGAACTCAATGCCTGACTTCTTCATGTATATGTATGAACAGTCACATGTTGGTTATTTCTTGCAGTATGACAAAGATTTGCTTAAGATGTGAACTGCTTTTTCTTTTAAGTACAAAAAGGACTTTTCCCCTGTCAACGTCTTGTCATTACAACGGAAACAGCTTAGCAAACTTTGTATTTTTTCATTGCTTTGGTCGTCAAATACATACAATTCCACAAAACTTGAATTCGATTCTGTTTTCTTCTTTGTCAGTTTTACAAATATAAAGATATGAGTTGACGATGTCATTGAATTCTATTTTTGGAATTTTTTAAATTTGAACAAGCAAACGTTATAGGTTAGTACTTAATGCGGAAAATAATTGAACATGAAAATTTCGCTGAGATAAAGGCAAATAAACTTCATTTAACCCAAATTGCTGTCATTTGGTTTTGGTTCCAATTTTTATGAAGCAAGTCAAAATGTTGGTATCCCTTTGTGCCTGCCTTCCAGTGACAGTTTTCAACAATTTTGCACATAATGAGTTTTCTATGGTGTTTATCCAGGTTTTATTGTGAAAACCCAAAACTTTATTACAAATCTTTTAATGATGACTTAACCACTTTGTTACACATTAATGTGGCGCCTCCATTACAGACACTTCAATTCACGGGGTACCTCTCAACAACGGACAGTTATTTTATCCCATAAGGTCAACCTAAATACCTAAAAAGAAATAAATCGCTGGATATCGCAGATGAGTCGATTTCATCTTCTGGTTTTATCAAAATCTTCCAATAATATTCTCTATGCACACAAACATGAAAAATATTAACACGAGAGTGCAGTTTTACACCTTTTACAATGGGACAACCTGGGAAGGAAAATGATAAACGAGCGTTTTGGGGGTCCCAAAAGTGTCGAAGCACACAAGGGACAACTCTATACAAGGGACAACCCTATACAAGGGACAACTCTGTACAAGGGACAACTCTGTACAAGGGAAAACCCTATACAATGGAAATTTCTATACGAGGGACAACTCTATACAAGGGACAACCCTATACAATGGAAATTTCTATACCAGGGACAACCCTATACAATGGAAATTTACAGTGGTCCAATCGGTTAACTAGAGCCTCTACTGTTTAATTAGCAATGTATTTTGAAGGGTTGCTGTTGCTGTTGCTGTTTGTAAACTGTTGGTGACAGTAGACCAATTCGACTCACAGCCTCATTTTGAAAAATTCTTCAAATTATTTTGTACAAAATTTTTTACCCCAGATTCGGATTGCGAGCAATGATTTTAGTATACTTGAAAGTTTTCATTATTGTATTGCTCACGATATTGATTTTATGACGATAGAAAGATAAAAAATTATAAGGGATTTGACCGTGATTGGCGACTAGGGGGGTAAAGTTCCCCCCCCCCCTGAATGATTTTTGCGGTCGAATCTCTTACAAGTTTTCAAACGTCATTTCTCCGTAAAATTTAAAATACAAGCACAAACAATATGAAAAATTGTATCCGGCCTAAGATTTTGGTGATAAAACCAAATTTGAGCTTTAAAAAGTCGTATAATTAGTTCAGGAGAAATTTTCAAAACGAGGCCGTAAGTCGAATTGGTGTATAGTTGGTGTTCACCTCACCTGCAGGGCATATTTTAAAGTCCAGACAAATCTGACATTGTGGTTTATAAAATCCCTTGAACTGACCTTGGTAGTGCTGTTATTGCACTTTGAAAGATACAGGGCCTGTCTGGGTGTTGGTAATCAGATCCCTCCAGTCAAATTAAATTTAACGCATACGAGAGGACTACCCAACAATTCTTGACAGGAGACAAATAGAGGCTGCTGAAGGCTGTCTGTTAAGATGACTAAAACTTGAATATTCAAAATTTGGGATAGTTGAAAAATAGAGCCAGTCGTAGTAGACAGGGAAATTTCGTGATTGATGATAGTTTCCTTATCTTTTTACTTCTTAATCAGAACAGTATACGTCCGTTCGTTGATTTCTGTCCTGGAAGATCTCGGAGATAGCACGGAGTCGGTAAAGATTGAGGTGCACTTTTGGCTTCCTCTTTCTGTACGCTTTTTGTAGATATTTTTATTGTTTTCGTTAAAGTTTCTCCTAACTTGGCGTGAATGTGAGTGGTCTCTACTCAAACGGTGAACTGTTCCTATAGCCTAGTGAATGCGTCTACTTCACATCCTAGCTTCGTTAATTATTACCGAGTTTTCCAAAAGAAACGAAACATGAGTGTGGCCATATTTTGCACCAAGCAAAAGACATTTTCCACAATTGAAATGGTTGTTGCATCAAAAAATGCAACAAATAGATTTTTTCTTATCGAATATAGTTATGTTGTCTCCCAAAGTAATCCCGGGCCATTTTGAGATTTAGCACTTGTCAAAACAATGAGAAATAAGCAAGAAAAGGTACGGTAAAGATTTAGTACTCGTTTGATGACGTCATCCTCGCAATAATTTAAGAGGTCATATCTTTTGACAGATTTATTTTACAACATAAACTTTTTATGATTTTCTGTTCATTTTCGAATGTTCTTTGGAACGATTCCCTTGGTTTTAAGATTAGATGAAAGATATTTTCGATGACAGGGAACAATGAGTGATTGATCACGTGACTACCAGCGCCCTATTTTTAGGCCCACCAGGGTTACATATCAAAAGAAAAAGTCCTGGTTACTGTGTTTGCTAGACTGCTCACAAAATTTCCCTGTCTACAGACAACAGCTTTGAATGTTTGCAGCCCTTGTTTTTTGTTTAACAGCAATAATTGAGGGTTATGATTAATTTCGCTGCTGCCAATATGGTCTGACGGCACAATTTAATCATAAGATGGGTGCAAGTAATAATATACTGAAGTTTATTTTAGTCTTTGACTTTGTTTGTCTTTTCGAAACTACTAGTAAGGGTTACGGGTTGATCATATTAAATACAATCAAGGTGTGTGCTTTCTTTGATAGTTTCGTGGGAGTATCATGTTTTTCAAGACGTTTTTATTAAAAGTTATTTTGCATGCCACGCTATTGGAATCTCTGTTTCAAGGGCATGGTTTAGGATTCTATTATTTCATTTCCACCTCTGTCAGTGAGTATCACATTTTAACAGGCGATAAATTCGTACATGCAGGTGCATTTGAACGGAGGGCCTCGTTCAGCGGCTTCCGCAACTTCTGAAAAAGGTACCGAAGAGACGTGCCTCCCCCCTAAATCCCTAGAACCATTTTTTTGTTTGAGGAAAAGCCTCGAGGGGCATGTTTTTGAAAAGATAGGCTCCCCATTTCCCTGCCTCATTTTATTGGACTCGTACTCGTTTATAAGAGCACAGGAAGTTTTTGAACACTTTATCTCTCCTAACCCCCTGAAGTATGGCCATATCTTCTGGCTAGCTCATCCAAAGCCCAATCACCCAGTTCCACTGATGGAAAAAAATGACCTTTAGCCTAGTGGTTGAGAAAAGTTACTGAAAAACTATTTACACTATTTCTTACTGGGGATGCTTTCATTCGCGATTTATAGCCATGGAACGAAATATTTATCATTTCTGTGTGGCTTTTCCATTTTGTAGCGTTTTCATTATGTAAGGCCATTCGGTATTTAAACGTATCGGTGATGTTCATTGAATCGTTCCCTGTCAATGCTGTTTCATACGTGCAGCCTTGACCTCTGCTGACACGAAAGTTGATTTTTGAGTGTAGAGAGACTCGATTAATAACTTATGTTACAAACCGTATCTTGATTTTGATTTTGTGTCCAGTGGCGGTTTCAAGGACTGCGGGGCCACTTGTCCTTTACAATTTTTATTTTTATTCTTAGTTGCGGGGCTCCTTTCTGACTACTATAATTGCGGGGCCTGGGATCGTTGGACCCCTAAAACCGCTACTGCTTGTGTTTTACGTTTTGCATCTGTTTTCTTGATTTGTAAATTTTGAATTCCTTTCTTTTTAGTGCTCGTCATCCTGTAGCACGTGTAACACAGTTTGTCTAGGAAAGAAGGGAGACAAGGTGAGTGGGTGATATATTTTTTGCTCATATTTTCTTTTATATTCAGAATACGTTTGATTAATTGTCTCAGAATGCTTGCTTCCGCTTTTATCTCAATGCCCGGGAACTGATATAATGGCGGATAAAATTGATAATGTTAGAATTGCCAGGTAAAAATCTGAAAACAGATGCAGCATGGCAGTCAAGAGAATAGTTGTAAAATTAAAATAGATTTAATCCTGAATTTGCAATTATGGCATGAAATGAAATGTTCTTAAAAGGGTATAGAATTTTGGCTGCAGTTTTACTTGGCAATTGTAATCTATACGAATTGTTCATCACTCACGGTTTTTTATTTCATTAGGGTGCTTCTGGATTCCAAGGTCTTCGTGGTCCTGCAGGTCTCCCCGTAAGTACAGTATACCGTCACTTATTCAACAATCATCTAATTACCTCTTTCAATCACCTAAAACTCGATTTTTAAACTCTTAATTCAGGTCGCCCGGAAAATTCCTAGTCATTTAGGGCTTGTTAAAACATATACATGTATTGGTAGTTATGTTGATCAGCTTGATATTACAAGAAGTATTACGTCGTCAGTTTAGATGTCAAAGTCAAGCAACGAAAGTTTCGGTCTTCTGGCCACTCAATGCTACACAAGAGCTCTTTGTATTGTTTCAAAGTTTTAAATAACAGTTTAAAAGATCGAGAGAAAAAGTTTTCAAGAAAATTGTGGTCTGTCTGTCAGCGTGCCACTCCAGGGCAATTCCGAATTGTTTGCAAAAAAAGAGTCATAGTCCATTATAATTTTAAACCATTCTTACATTGAGTTTTTATTCTTGCTTAAATTGTGAAAATCTTATTTATACAATTCTTTGGAGATGCTGCACCGTATTGATAAGCAGTTCATTCATACTGGAAAATTGTTCATGAACTCCGTTTATTTAGTTTTTCAAAGTCCCCCTTTGTAGACCCCCATTGTAGAAATACATGTTTTTTCAAAGCCTTCCCCCATGTTTCTTATTTTAGGCTGTCAGTTGATCCGCTTTAATCCAATACCAACGCTAAAGAACTTTGCAATTTCCTTCATTCATTCCCTAGATTATCTTGTTTATCGTTTGAAGTCGAAAAACGCGCGCAAGGCCTAACAGGATTCCCTTCAATCAAGTGCTTCTTTTCAAGGATTCTGTCCAATCTTTTTAATTGTTCTAGATTTCCACTGCCATTATGTCTTTTCTACTTTATTTGTGCTTGTAGCTGTGTTAGAGACGAGTAAGTTCTTTTTTCGGTGCTTTAAAGGGGCTTTTCTTTCAAAAGAACTGTTTTGTCTAAACGCCTTCGTGTACTTACTTTCGTCAAAAATAATTTCGTAGTTACATTGGATCTGTCAGTACAATAATGTGGTTTATATATATGTATATAAGGTAATTGATAAATAAGAAAAAGAAAATTGATTGTTACCTGGGGTTTTAATTGGTAGTAGGATTAAAGAAATTTCTGTGAAATGGGACTTTTGATTGAAAAATATAAAATCGTTCCTTAGTGAAAATATGATTTGAACTAACTGAGTCAACGAAGAGAGAAAGAAAATTGAATTTTGCATATCTAATTAGCCAGAACTGTTTAGGACGGTGTACTCGCGGTAATTTGATTTTGAAGAAAAGTTGTCATCCTTTTGCGGCCGGAAAGTGAAAACAAAAAAGTTTTTCTTGATAGCAATGGCAGTGTTATCTTCGGTAGCGTCAACGCTTTGGAATTATATTTTCCTTATGAAATTATTAGAAAAATTTATTATTATCCAGTTACCAACGTTTCCATCTCTAGTCTTGTTTTTTCCACGATACTTTTTTATCCTTTCCGCTTTAATTCTCTGATTTGATTTCAGGGCTACCCTGGTCCAGAAGGCCCAGTTGGACCTGGTGGAGAGAAGGTATGTCTAATACATTGAGCACATGACCAGGCCGTGTGACGGGGGCTCCATAATAATAAAGGATTTAAATTCAGGGCCGTCGAGAAACAGCTCGGGCCTAGGGGTGATTCACAAAGCTGGATCCCTTAAGTAAAGGTCATATGGCCACGCCCTTTCGTCTCCATGAGAACTAAGGAAACGCCCTTTTTGTTACAATTACTAAAAAAGTTTTTTAAGGATTTTTACAAAAATGTGCAAAAATATTTTACACGAATCAAGGACATGTTTTCCCTGCGATAAACTTAAAGGCGTTGATTCCAAGTAAGTAGCTTTTTTGAATTAAAAATAGATCTTATTACATTAATACGAGCCTCATCGGAGCATGGGCCCCGGACCTTTTCCCCTCTTAACCCCCTCTCTCTCTTGACGCCCCTGTTTATAGTGTGTGAGAAATAACGTTATAGAGAGCTTAGCAATTGATATTTGTTGCATGCCATATTTCTACTCTGTATATGACATTGAAGCAATAAAGCACCATCCGGACACGTTTTTTTGGGGTTGATTTTCATACCATACATGTTCGGTTCTTTTCGTTTGGCATTTTGAATGAGATGTTTAAAGTGTGCCAAATTTCAAGCAAACACACTTCTATTTATTACAAGAATAAGTTAATAATATTTCAGCTGAACGCTAGCTAGATCATTATCATTGATTACTCTATTATTGTACGTTCGGAAAAAAGCCAAAAGGCCTTTAGAATGTCAAGCCTAATTTTCAAGTGACTTTTTAAATAATTATTCTCGTTTAGGGTGACAGAGGATATCGTGGACAAAATGGCGCTAAAGGAATAAGGGTGTGTTGATATACAGTTTCTTTCTCATTAATTATAAAAGGTGTATTAATAAAGATTTTGTAATGAAACGATCAATTTGATCAAGCACCGCCCACCAGTTTAAAAGTGGAGAGGTTAAACTGGGTGTGCCCGAAAATTTTTTGAGGTCATGCCCCCTAGAACGCTGGAAACGCCCTTTTAGAAAATACTTGCTCATTTCTACTCAATTTTTATAAACAGTCTGGTTCAGAGAAGATATCAATAACTATAAAGATAGATAAAATTAGCTTGAGGGTAACAAAACACCAAGCTAACCAAGTTAGAAAATACATCATATCATTAAACAAGATAAAACACCTAGAGAATGAACAAAAAGGGTTCCCAGTCAAGAAGAACTGCTACTACATAGGAGTAAACTATCCAAAGTTGGGTTGGAGAAAACCTTCCAAAAATTTCTAGTCTATTATTGTAAACAAGTGGGAGGGCGGGGGCTATAGCTAGCTCAATGGCTGCGCGGTACCTGGAATGCTGGTTCGTCTCCTTTTTAATTTGCCATGAGGAAGGGCGATTTAACTTTTGATAATCGGAAATAAGGCTCGATTCTGCATGCCTTAGAAGCCCTTTGTTCTGATTCTCAACTTTGGTAATCACTGAAACTAAGGTATTTGTAAGCAAATTTCAGCATCGAGGGTTTTTGTCATCAAAATAATAGATTTGGGTGAAATTGAGGCATTTGTGCACCGCGAACCATCATTCTCATATCTTGAAGTTTAACAACAATAAACATCCCGATCTTTCTTACCCGATTTCATTTCGTAAGCAACATAAGTCTCTTAAGTCTTCAATTGTGGCAAAGCCTAAAGTTATTATCTTTCTAAAGTTTTATGCTCTTATCACTCATTGTATTTCGAAATGGCATTTCTATTTACCACTAATAGTATTGAGGTATATAATGTTTTGTTTCTATTTTAACCTCAATAACACTGTCTTCCTATATCTTTCTTCCCTGGATTGTGATTTAATTGTTGTGAAACAATTTTCTCTCGTTCTTATCGCTCTAAGAGCAAACCACGATTCAGCGGCCACCTTCTTCAGATGCAATGAATGCCTGTTCATTTAATCTTAAATTTTTCTCACAAGCGTTTAACTTTGCAAATTAATTTCGTGGTTTTCATGTAAATCCTATAATTGCTACATGTGATCAATTGGGAATAGTATTCTGTTTCTCTCTTTTGTTGGGAAGTTTTGAAATTGTCAACTAGCCAATGTGAAATTTGGAAATAACCCCTTATTTTCGTGCTCGATACACTTTGTATTTCCTTGACTCATTTTCAAGGCAGGCTGTCCCCTATCGTGCTCAGTGTTATTTTCACTTGTGTCGTATTCATGCTTTTTGAAGTTGATGAGAAACTAGGTAATTAAAGTGACGTCCCATGGCTCAAGCGTCTTTGTTGCAATCAGCCAATCATAAAGGGGACAGTTTTTCTTCAAGGAACTACAATTTATCGCCTGCACAGTGCAGTCTTTTTTCAGCTTCCGCTCTTGTTACTTTATCAAACGATGCCTTTCCAACTTTTTATCCTCTTTGCCGACAGGATTTGAAATTACAATATCAGCACAGTCTGTCTTTCAATTCAGAAGAAAATGCACATGAATGCAGTTTTCCAGTATCCAACTTTTACGGCTTTCACCCGCCTGTCTAAGCCCTTGAAGAGCGTGAGACATATCTAAACTGTTTAACGTACCTACTCAAATAAATCAGACAAGACCCCAAACAAGCCGAAGTGCAAGCGAGGCACAAAAATAACTTGATATTGTAGTTTTAAGGACAGTGAGTAATAGTGCAGAGACATTGTCACAAGCCACTCGGTATATTTTCGAAAAGCTAGGTGTCTTGAAATGTTTCCCAAACCATGATACGTTTCTTATTATTTCTAGGGACCAATTGGATCTCCTGGACTTCCAGGTACATCAGGAATTCCGGTAAGCACCTAGTTTATTTTGTCCTTTTTTGATTATGGCATTTCACGCTTAGACCCAATTTGTTGTGTGACTTCTCTATCATTGCGTGATTCGCATATCAGTAGAGTCTCATGTATGCCGCAATTTGTCATACCCTTGACCTTACTTTCAAAGTTTCTCTTTGCTCGAAATAATTTCACGCAATGACTGTTCATTCACCACCACACGTGAGCCGTTGTGGACATTTTCATAATTCGCTGATAAGTTTAGCGTGTAACCGTCCTGTTGATTTTGCTGTACCTCAAAGCTAGTGTCTTTTGTTTACGATACACCAAAAGCTGTGCGATATAGCGACTCACTTTTTAACTCTCATTTACTGTACGAAGAAGAAGGCCAAAAGATAGCAATTTAAGGAATTCTATCAATGACCACCCTAATCGCACCTCTTTTAGTCAGCGTCACACAAAAAATAGAGTAAAAGTTATCATTTATTGCGGTCTTGAGAGTCTGTAGTTGTCCTAAAAACTTAGATAAAACAGAGAAGATTTGAAAGCAGCTAATGTATAAAAGAAATGTTTAGAGAAAAGAATAATGATGTCTTTCTTGCTTGGGAGTTTATGATATGGAAATGGAAATGAAATATGGAAATGAAGTATGGACATGGAAATGAAATATGGAAATGAAGTATGGACATGGAAATGAAATATGGAACTAAGATGAATATTCGCCGGTTTCTCTCAATATGGCGTTGCTCTAGTTTACTAATTCGCATGTTTTGCCCTCAATGCAGGGTTGGTAGATTCTTTTGGGGCTTCAAGCCAAATCAATGTTGGAAAAAAGCCAAATTAAGCCAAAATGTAAACGAGGCAGCAAAACAATAGAATATTTCAAGTTGTAAACGAGGCTAGAAGTAAATTTTTTGTTCAATCCATAGGGTGCTTGACCCCCTTTAACCCTTACGTATTTCTCTACCCACGGCTTAAACTTTCCACTCTTGTGAAAATGCTGAGGAATTCTTTGACTGACTGGTGGAACACTTTCATTGTATTCATAGAACTCTAACACATGATGTACATGTAAAGGAAGCATTTTTTAGTAAAATTAAAATAAAGCAACAGGAGAGCAAAAAGAAAATTTTAGGCTTAGCCGTTTTTGCTATCAGAATATTTACCCTTCCCTCAACATTTTATCATCGGATTTAGATAAAGTACAAAGTTAGTCCATATGACAGAACCCCCTCCCCCTCCCCCTTCCCCTCCAAGTCCCCATCCCCTCTTTTCGCATCGCGGTCACCAAACCCTGCTTCAACAGACAGAAACATAGATATGACAGAAAGAATAAAGAACAACGCAAACACCGCGTAACAATCGGACAAGGTGGATAAAATCGCAGATGTCCAACCAAGTGTCAAAATCACAGTAAAATATGTGCATTAACTGCTTGAATTATCAATTTCTGTTAGAATAGTGAACAAAGAAGAAAGGTAGGAAATAAGTACTTATGTCTGTACTTGTGGGAAAAAGCCAAAAATTAAGCCAAAAAGTGACTTTAAGCCAAAAGGAATTTCTGAAGCCAAACAGGTTCGAAAAAAGCCAAATTTCTGGAATTTGGCTTAAAAAAGTCAATATTCCCAACCCTGCTCAATGGTAGGATCTTTCGGATTTTAGTCACGGATGCTTTATTGTACTTCGACTCTCAAGCAAACGTGTTTGTGAATTGTGACACAGACGAAACAATTAACAAAAACTCTCTTCAACTTTGTTTTTGTTTTCCCGATTGAATTATCTTTAGCCATGAAAACTTGATCCCAGGCTCTGGGAGTGGCAAAAGGATTAGAGATTTACTTTAAATGGTTCGGCATAATTAGCAACAGGCGTCTGTAAAGCCAAGGGTATAAATTGGGCGATCGGGTCCTTCTGCTGGCTTATGTTCAGAATAAATCTTTATGACCCGTTCTCTCATTTCCATTGGGTTTTTCTCTATCTTATTACCGAACAGGACAAAAAGACTTACCGACATTTCCACTAATCAATTTTTGTCTTTCAAATATGACACTAATGTTTTCTTGGATTTTTATCCCCAACGCTTACAGAGCTAAAATCATAACACACAAATATGTGAAGTAGTTATAGTTGAGTAAACCAATTAAGCAAAAAAATGTTATCAATGCAAGTTATATGAAGCCAAGCCATTACAATCTGTTTACCAGAGACAGAAATTCTAGTTTTACTGGATTTTGTGACAAAATTTTATCAGTATCACAGAATAAACGAACATGCTTTTGAAAGTATAAAATAAACCAATACCCTTCTAGTTTAAGTAGTATTGTAAAAATTTCAGACTGTGCAAATGAGGAACTCTGAAAGATTTTTCGTTTAAGGGTCAATTGCACTCTTTTTTTAAAAAAAGAACCAGTAAACTGAAGTTCAGACGGGCTGTTCTGAATTTTTTTCTGAAAATCTGAAGTGAGATTATTCCCAATTTGCTCCTAAATTATTGGGGTGTAAACAGTACAATTGCTAGCTATTGCGCTCTAGGGTCTCATTTGCCAACAAAGTCACTGAGACAACTACAATTTGCCTTCAAGTTTGACTGAAAAATTCACCGAAAAAGCACCCCTCGGTGGAAGAAGGCTTCTCATATTTGAGATGAAACATTGTTCAAAATTACGTTTTGCTGTAGCTCATCCTCAGCTTGTTATTGACCAATTTTCAGGCTCGTATTCTTATAAAGTTTCTCTAATTTTAGAAGAGCGCAGTAACGAAAAGTAGATATTTTATAGAGCGTAGTAATGACAATTTTTGAATGGCTGTCTATCCCTACTGGAATGTTGCTGTAGTTGCCAAGTCGCATTGCTATATTTTGTCTCAGGCTTACTGATCTTCCTTTGACTACTTTTTGTTGAAAACCGCATGGTACCACCCTATCCCCGGGGCCTAGTGTCGTGAATAAAACGAGGGTATTTTATAGCCACTGTTCTTTCATAGCCTACTGTAGTTTCTTGTCGTAAGTCTCGCTTTTGTGACTGGAAAGGAAAACACTGCCTTTTTCTGTTAAATGAATGTTATTCCTTATTCAACTTGAAGTTCATAACCTAGTAGGATTGTCTTAAGGAAGCCTATGAGGATGCCACTTCCTTTATTACAAAAACCTGCTTTAATCAGGATCCTAAAAGCGCGAAACCGGTTTGTAAAATCCAGTCGACGCCAGACAGGCAAAGCAGAGGAAGAGTACAGCTATCCGGTTTTCTGTTTTTGTCAGAAAAATAAACTTTAAGATTGAATGTCGTTACCAATTACTGAATATGCCGAAGAAACAAACACAATTGATAAAATTTTCCCAAAGCTGTAAATATAGAAAATTGCAAATAATATTTCTGACGGGAAAAGGTTAATGAGTTAGAAACAGATAATTTCTTCCTTTTCAGACTCGATCGTTGCAACAAACCACTTCCCTAACTCCCCCCTCCCCCCCAATATTTATAGTAAGCATGAATAGAACTGAATCAGTTGATAGAAAATTTCATGATTCTATAGAAGCAAATTTTCAATTAGCAAAGCTGAAGCTGCCACTTAAGCATATTTTTTGCGTTTGTGTGGAAATTTCGATAGTCATAGCTGTTATTTTGGAATATGTATTTATTAAAGACGATTTTTTGTGGCAGAGGAGCTTTTTCATTCATAAATCCGAGACAATCTAGTCTAAATCTAAAGCACACGGTCATACCCTCTGCCCCAAGCAAACGAAGCGTAGTGGTTGTATTTTTATCTAATAATTGAGGCAACTTTGTTTATTACTTTGCCTTTTCGGTTTTAGGGTTTACCTGGCCGAGAAGGTCGCATTGGAGAGCCTGGTATCCCAGGATGCAACGGAACGAAGGTATTTGAAATCACTACTCAAAGTTTCCAGCCCTTTTTGTTTTATTATTCGACGTTTATGCTCTGAATAGTGTACTTTGTTCTTTGTTCTTTTGATGGAAAGTATTTTGTTATGCTATGTTTTCGATGTTACACAATGAAATCTCCTTATAGCATACATCGAGTTCACCTTTTCCCTCTCAAATGACAGGTTATGCTTAATTCTTAATAAGATAAAGATGGTTTTTCAATAACTGAATATTCTATTATCATTAACCAGGTCTGTTGGTTTGCTTAAACCTTTTTTGTCAAGAGTAAGCGATTATTCCTAACGAGGAATAGTATGATATCATCTGTTTAATCGACAAACCAATGTCTTTAGCAGCCATGAATAGTATGATCGATAAACCAAACGAAATCTGGTGTTGTGATTGTGTAACGCCCTGATGCTCAATCTTATCATTTGTTTGATAATGGTCAATAGGAATTATGATTACATTTATTTGGTAGGGTGACCTCGGTCTCAGAGGAAAAGACGGACGTCCAGGCAGCGCAGGGCCAAGGGTAAGCGCGTCTTAGGGGGTGATTTTGTTTGTTTACGTATCGTGACAATGTAGCATTAATAATTCTCAAAAGTTTCCTTGCAAAATGTATCATATTGTTGATAGTAAGAAATTTTGTTGTTTTTTTAAGACTTCTGTATTTTGTCAGACTTATGTTGTATTTTGTCTACTTATTTGCAAAGGGTAAAAGGTTAGATTTAAGAAACCCTGGTCAGCGTTGGTTACAAAATAAACCAGCTTCTTATTTCAAAAGCAAGGGTAATAATTTATAATATATATGTAATAGTCAGTAATTGTTAAGCAAGTCAACATGCTAATTTCCTGCGCCTTCAAATATTCTCTAATCGTCACTACCAAATCGCTCATTGGTTTTAATTTATTAAAATGTATTAGAAAGAACATTTTGCCTATTTAGTTTCGCGTAATATTTTTCAATCTTTTTTTAAACATCGCATGTTGAAAGATTTTCCAAGCTTTTTGTAACCAAGAGACAGTTCTTTATTCCCTAATCAATGTGATTATTGTGTTATGATAACTATTTTGTTCGCTGAATTGCAGGGTCTTCAAGGGCCAGGTGGTCTCAAGGTAAGTCTTGAGATTTTTGTAGCCAGATTACACTGAGCTTTAAGGGCCATACTTTAGGCACTACCATTTTAAAGTAGAGGCAGAACCTCTGGCTGACAGGCGAAAAAAAATTTTACATTAGCTAATATTTGTATATCTTATGAAATTTCAAGCAATAGCCAACATGTGTTTTTTTAGTCGTATCAAAAAGCTGTTACTAAAAGCTGGTAACAGTGTGATATTATTAAAAGTGGTTCTTGGAGGTTTTCAACTGCTCCCCTCAGTCGTCTGGCACCAATTATTTCTCTTTCCGATAATCTTTAAATGGAATGCCCCCAAAGAAACTGTGTTTCTCAAGTCTTTATTCCAGTTCTGATATTGTCCGGATCTAATACCATCCGGGTCTGATACTGTCTGGATTTAGTAGCATCCGGATTCATAATCGTCTGGAATTGAATTTTAGGGAGAACCTGGAGAAAGTGGGGCAACACAAGAAGGAGCAAAGGTCAGCCTTTTGCATAATACTTTTCAAAACTTAGCTTTCAATGCAAACGGATGGTCAGGGCGATCGCCATGATCTCGTGTAATTCTGTCAATTGAGAGTTGCAGTAGTTTCTCGATAATTTGACTTTCATCTGACCTCTACCTTCCTAGCCAAGGCTATGTGCTAATTTTAGTTCCCTACCGAGTAGTTAGAGCATTTTTAAATCATGTGCCATCAAGACAATAAATTCTTCACAGAATACTGCATCTTTCTTGTCATGTTCGGTGACAGACAAGCAGTTGGGAAAACGTAATAATGATAACTAGTAGTACAAGCAGTAATAACTAAAACTGACAGTATAAACTAGAGCAACAAGAAGTCTTTTGAAGTGGAACCCGCTTGGTGCTGATGTTCCACCGTATGTTAAACACCTCAAAGTGGTCGATTGATCTTATATTCCATTATGTAATCTTATTCTTACTGATTATCTACTTGAAAACCTTAAATCACGCTTCAAATTGTTTGTATCGCCCCCTTTACCCTAATTGACTTTGTATTATCTATATATTCTTCCCACACCCAATCAAGATTAATTTCTCTTTAGGGAGACAAAGGAGAAAGGGGGCCTCAAGGATCAAAGGTGAGAAAAGAGTTATAAACTTTGACAAAAAACGAGATTTTTTTATTTCGATTGCATATAGGCCATTTAGTCTACTTGTTTTGTTCATGAAATATTTTTTGGCGAAAATTTAATTGATAAGTGCAAGTGAACTTTACATTGGTGAGATTATAATTTGTCGGGTTGGAGTAACTTTCAAATGTTCAAATGTCCTAGAACTCTTATATGTAAAAATATCAAAAAAGTGACGAACGTTTGGTCAAAAATTTGTAACCGGCAACCCTTTCATTAACAATGTGGTTACAGTGCCAACACGTATAGCAACAATTATCTTGCTTTTATTAAGGGTTTATCTGGTCATCCTGGATTCTACGGAGCCAAAGGAACAAAAGGCGTCAAAGGTGACAAGGTCAGAAAACGGTTTTTTTGTCTCAATGCTTATTTGTAGCTTTGATAATGAAACTCTGGGTTTTAGGTTTTGAAAATGTGATTTTTAATCCTTATTAGCAATCTTTACCATGTTGTCTCAAACTTTACTCCACAATTTTTGCACCCTTACATTTGTGAAATACGGTCCTTGTCAAGGAGATATTTTTGCATTTCAGGGTAATCAAGGAAGAACTGGTCCAAAAGGAGAAAAGGTATGTCTGTTTTGTTTCTTGCCTTCATTGTTTGACAAAGATTATGCATCATTGATTCCGCGATCAATGATAGCATTAAGTAATTTTTATCATCAACTCCACAGAATAAATCGTATTTGATGATCATAAATGTCAAATTTACTTATAGTTTAAACTCTGTTGTTTTTCTGACTTTTAGTTTTATTTTCTCATTTTTCCAATTTCAGGGTCTTGACAAAATAAAGCTTACGGGACCCCCAGGAGACAGGGTAAGTTTTTTGCCAATGGGGCAATAGTTTTAAAAAAAGCAGTGTTCTGGTTAATACCTAGTACTCTAAGTTACGACAATCTTCCTTTGAACTTTTTCTTTAAACGTCACATTACTTTGTAGCCAAGATAGACTTCTTTGCTCAATTGTCTCTGCAATTCTTGTTTGTTCATTCTCAAGGGAGTTAAAGGAGAGCAAGGTCCCCCAGGACGTGATTGCGACTTTGTAACAAGACCAAGCACAAGTAATGGCACAACTGTCAATGTTTTGCAGGTAAATTGATTTTTCTGTCTTAGCCTTATAAACGTGCAGGGTTTTTTCATTTGTGTTCTTTACTGTAGATTTAAAATAGCGTGTACTTTTTATCAACATGTTGATAAGACAAAGTGGTCGAAAGACTTTCAAGAAACTGTTCAGTGTTCACCCTTCCTTTGATCTAGTAGCAAAAACTTTCCAAACCTAAAACAAAAACAACGAAACCAAGGTGTGGACCTTTACTTAGCAAAAATTGTTTTTTCTAATGTTTATTAGGATTCTGTTATATTTTTGGTGTTTAATTTCTCCTGTTTTTTCTTCAATTATTCAGGGCCCTAAAGGAAAAACAGGACCACAAGTAAGTATAATAAGCTTCTTGCTGTTGACGCTCCAGGTGGAAGTTCTACTCATTTTAAGAAAAGGGGGTTATTCGAATGTAGTTTCACGATTGATCATTCATTGAACCCACTCAAGGTTCTTTCATGCTTTCATGTCAAGATAATTTTCCAAAATATTACGTGTCAAGATAATGCTTTCATGTCAAGATAATTATCTTGTTTAGAATTTGGTAAAAATTTTAACCGATCTCTCTGACTGATAAGAAAATCTAAAACTTTTTTTGATTAGAAGCATGTATTTTTGAAACGTTCAAATTTAGCAGCTTTTAAAGTCATCTGTAAGGACATTGTAGATCTTGGAACTTAACTTCTTTATTTTAATTTTATCTCTTTACTACAGTTTTAAGTTAAAATAACCAAAAAACTTGAGTTATTTGGTCGTTTTATAATTCCAAAGATAAATCTGTAAATAATTTCTTATCAGTAATGTTACGTTCCTTTTTTCAGATATGGGCCTGACCTGTTTAGTCAGCGGCCTGTCTGGTCAGTTTTTCCCATAATTTAGAAAATATTTCGAAGATTTAAACTATTTTATCTTTTGTTAAAGATTGCTATAATTTTGTTAGGGTGATCAAGGCGAACCTGGACCAAAAGGAGAACCTGGAACTGGAGGAAGGACTGTAAGTATTTACCCTCTAAGGAGGTACAAACCTAAGTCCATTTTCTTAGTAAGGGTTGCAGTTTTGAGGCCATTTTCGAAGAAGGCGTTCAGATTTGAGACCACACTTTTAGAAGAAGGCACAGTTTTCAGTCCACCCTTTAAGGAGGCGTTAAAAATTTGTGTCCGTGCTTTTAGAAGACAGTACTCTTAGAAGACAGTACTCATAGAAGACAGTACTCTTAGAAGACAGTACTCTTAGAAGACAGTACAGTTTTGAGGCCACCCTGTCAAAATTAGGCATTCTTAAAATTATCATTTCAATTCCCTTATATATCTATTCCGATATACTTTCAAATCAAATTGTTCCACATATTTTGCTCTGACTGTTATTTTGAGATAAAGATATTTGGTTTCCATATGTTATGTAATTAATTGCTTTTATGCAGAACTATAGTGTGTACAGCTGAAGAAGCCGGTCCTTGAAGATAGTTAATAAACTTAATCAAAGCACTTGATATGAAATAGTAGATCCGTGGCTGATTCAAGTTTACTAAGATAAGGAAATCATGAGACCGAGTAATTGGAACTTGGCTACAGCAAAAGAATGGCTTCAACGTATCATTGCTATAAGATCACTCGTAAAAGTTTATCTGCAAGAGTCCGAATATCTGCGACCGCTCCAGTATTTCAAAGCTTCAAGAGGATTTTTTTAAAATTCGCACTCAGCCTTCACCGCTCAATTTCGGTATCTCTGCTACTTATTACTATATATAGGCTCAAGCTTTAGGCCGGGGTGGGGGTTTGAGTTAGATGTAGTTGTAACAACATCTGTGTTTAAGATTGCAGTTTCAGAATTTGTCGGGTTTCTTATATTTGGTGATATTTGTTAACAGTTTTTATTACTTTCTTCTGTACTCTCATCTGAACTTTCGAATGAATATAATTCGAATGAATTTAATCACATCATGATTGAATTATCAGCTTCATTTTAGTTTGATACAAGACAACCACAGTTATTCGAATAGTATTTATTAGTTTCAGATCAAATTGCAGTATTTGACACCATTGTTGGCTATGTTATATTTTTGTCTCTAGGGACCCCCAGGTGATCGTGGTCTAAAAGGTGATCGTGGAATTAAAGGCGATGAAGGTCCCGAGGTAGGATCCAAAGCGCGATTAATCACTCGCAAACATGGAATCAGCTGTCTTTTCTTTAAGGCTTCTGTTGGGTAGCCCATCTTTATGAATAACATCACCCTATGCAATAAGCTCTGTAATGTAAATTTTCGTTTGATGCTGCTTTGTGATTATTCTAGCAGTATTTTGCAAGCTATAAGAGCAGTCTAGTGTCACTCATTTTGTCTTTGCCAGTACACCCAAATGCCATCAGGGTATATCATGTTGGTATATCAGGGTATATAATTGTAATATGTTTTGTTATGATTTAATCGTATGTGACTTGCACTCTTTTTTCATTCCCTTACGACTGCCTATTTTGAAATACTATATTCAGAAACGATGCTTGTTTTGAACTTACAGGGTCCAATTGGCGAACCAGGCGACAGAGGTTTGAAAGGAAACAAGGTTCGTATATTCTTCCTCGTTTCCTAAGTCATTCTGCCAATTCTGAATTTAGATAGAACTGGCTCCTGCAAGTGTGCAAGTTTCACGAATTTAGCAATCATTGCGTTAACATCATTAAGTATAGAACTTCATTGCAATTTTAGATCTAAAATATATTATAAACCTTGAGAAATTATGAATTTTTGCCTTCTTAGTTAACATCTTCTGATAATTTTGGTTGTTGTAAAGGAGATAATAAAACCATTCTAATAAGAGTGAAATTTTGATGCTTAAATTGAACTTGCAATTTCAATGAGTATTATTTTAGTTGTTGAATCCTTAGAAGGTATATATTAGATGGAATATAAAGTCGTGCCCTTAAGTTAAAGTGATAATAACTATAGCACTCGATCGACAGGGTGATCGAGGATCCCAAGGTGCAATTGGTCAACAAGGAAGACCCGGAAGTGACGTGAGCTTTTAACTTTTTGCGTGTTTTCCACATCTTTTACAGCACATTATTTTGAAAGTTTCCAAGCAAATTTTCATATCTCAATATGTTTTCATTATTTAAATTTATTCAATATGTTTCAACATGACAATTTTTTATTAGTACTGTCACGCAATTGGTGAAATTTAGTTCTGACGTGTTCATATTGTGTGTTTGTCTTGTAGGGACAAGACGGTGATACGGGCCTAAGAGGTCCCGCAGGAGCGAAGGGAGATCGAGTAAGTATTACTTTTGTGTGCCCTTTCGATACCGTAAAGGAGAGGGAAATTCTAGGACTCCCGTTTTTCTGACGTTCAAATCTAGGGCACGCCCTTCCCCTTTGTACACCAAATAGGTTATTAGTGTATGTTATTATACATTAAGGAACTAAGAAACTGTTTTCCTTCTTAGCTTAAGACGTTTCTTATCTCATGGGCTTTTCTTAGGCTAAAAGCTTCTTAAAAGTTTCTTAAATTTCCCATGGTCGGGTGCCATGTTTTTTAAAAAGAAGTACTCGAGTGTATGATTTACCATACAAGTTTCTTGAAAGTAGGTAGGGCCTTGCTGTTTGCTGTGTTGTTTAAAGGCAGAATATAAATGGTTTTTAATGTACCGAAAAGAGAGCTGTTTATATTCAATCCCTTTACAGTGAGATAAAAGATCGTGCTTTCTCTATAAATCCCATTCGAATTGTTGTCATATGAAGCCTTATTTACGGCAATTACACATAAGAAACTTTATTTCAACTTCTGAAGCAAATTTGAAAATCACCAAAGGGACCTTTGAAGAACCAAATGGCCCTACCCAGATTGCACGAGTTAAAAAGAGACAACATAAAGCGTTAGGTTTTCTTTTAAGTCTTTGTTAGTTATGTTTTGAAGAAGCTTATAAGAATTTGTCGCACAGTATCAGTAAAGGGCTTAGTGGACCAGACAGAAGTTTATCAGACGTCGGTCAATGACAACTCTGATTCGGTTAGGAAATAGCTATCGTTTGCTTGACAGGGACTATCAATAAAGGGAGACCAAGGACCTGCCGGTGATCGTGGTGAGAAAGGCGACAAAGGTGATCTTGGTCTCAAAGGAGAGACTGGTCCAAGAGGCGATACTGGATCTGCGGGACGTGACGGAGCTGCTGGACCTAAAGGTGAAAAAGGTGAAGTAGGCCCACTGGGACCACAAGGACTGCGGGGAATGAATGGTAAGTTTTTAACGATTTACAGCAGATCTCACCTTCCTTTTGTGTAAACAATATGATAGCGAGTTTTTATATCTCGGATGAGACTCGAACTTTTCATTTAGGGTTGTCCATCCGCAATTATCAAAATTCATCAAAAGTATCAAAAACAGATTTAACAGACCCATAATTATCAGCTAAACAGTTTTGATGAAACCCAAAATATCAAAATACATTTTGCTGACCACATACCAAACTACTAGTCATGAAAACTCGTTCTGTTTCTTTAATTACTATCAGTTTAAAAGCATGTTTGTTGACGTCAGACGTTAGAAGAGAGCTACACAATAGTATGCATTCTGATCAACTGATGCACAAGGTTTAGCATCTTATGAAAGATATTTATTATTTTAGTAATGTTTTACGTTTAGTTTTATATGTATTCAAAATTATCGTGTCACAAGGAAAATTCTTACCAATAATTATCAGAAGATCCCCCGTTTTAGTTAGTCAAATTGACCCCCTTTTCATTTGAGTATATAATTGGGTTGATTTTTCCCAATACCCATGCATAATTTTTAGTTTTTCTTTCAAAGTAATGTAAAATTCAATGCGAATTCTATGTTTTCGCTTGAGAACATTTGGACATAAAACATTTTTCAAGCTCTCTTTTTCAGAATTAAGTATAAAATTGCTTTAAACTCTGTTTCAATGATGCAAGTTCTCTAAAACGTTATATGCCAACGGGTTTCCAAATCGTAGGTATTTCTGTTATCCTTCTCAGCTTAATGGCAAAAACAGTTATAAACCGTTTGTCCTCTCCCCAGGTGAACCTGGAATGGAGGGAAGCAAAGGACTCCTTGGAAGAGATGGAAGACAGGGCCCAAAAGGATCCAAAGGAAGGACTGGTCTTTCAATTTTTGGAAAAGATGGAATGGATGGAGAGCCGGGTCCTCCAGGTCCTTCAGGAGATAAGGGTGTCCGTGGATACCCCGGGCTGCAAGGTATTTAAGCATTTGGCTAGTTTTCAAAATTTTTCTACCTTCCCCAAATCCTTTGAGTGTCAAACGAATATCGATTTTCATGGCTCATTTAATCTGTTAAAACTCCGTGTTATACTGTTAAAAGTTCGAATCATCCAAGTGTTAAAAATGAAATCTATCTATCAACTTCGAAGTAAGAATTGTCCTTGTTTTATAAATTTTCAATGTCGATATAAAGGGAACAGGTTTTAGGGAGGAATACGTCCTTATGCTAAGATTACCAAATAATTGCTTAGGGTGACAAATGCAGATGTAGTGTGAATAGTATTACAAAGAAAATTAATTTTTTTAGCAGCTAAAGAAACCTTTCTATTCGCAATTGCTAGTCTTTTTTCTGGTTTCATCATCACAGTCATAATCAATCATACTTAATCATAATCAATCATAATCATCGTATCAATCATGATCATTGTAGTCACCAATCAATCAATCATTATCACTAATCATAACTGATCATCCCAAATCATTATCCATAACATCTGTCATCGCTATGATCATTGTAAACATTACCAGCACAATCACCTTTATAACAACCGGCATCACAGGCTAACATAAAACCTCTAGCTAAAAATGCTACGTCGTCAAAGCTTTTTAAAATGTTTATCCTCTACAAGGACCCCCTGGAGTTGTTGTCTCAGAAAACGGTGAGACCGGTCCTCAAGGTGACTCAGGACCGCCGGGGCCAAAAGGAATCAAAGGTATCCAAGGGCCATCAGGATTGAGAGGACCGAGAGGACTCAAGGGTGACAAGTGTACCGCCTGCCCACCTGCGCCAAAGGGAGAGAAAGGGACTACAGGTTTCCGTGGATTGGATGGAGGGGCAGGTGAGCCAGGTCTGTCAGGAGCAAAGGGGGATAAGGAGAGCAGGGAAATGACGGTGCTAAAGGTGCTACAGGTCTGCGTGGTATCAAGGTTAGTGACAAATTACTATACTTGCGATCATTTTTCGTAGCTCGTAACGTTGCCAATTATGCTCGTAATTCTCCTCTAGTATTTATTTAGCTTATATAATTCTTCAAACTTACTCTCGTATGCACTTGACAGCATTGAAAAAATCTGAATTTAAGTCAATATTAGGGAACTACGCTTCATAGCAATTACGGAACATAGCATAAATGGCACCTCACTACTATTTTTAACAAAGCTTGATTTTGGTAAAGGTTAACACAATATCTGTTTTTCTACAAATTGTATTTCACATGACATATAGAAATTGTTAAGTGCTACTTTTATAAACGCCTGCCTTCTTGATTTTTTACAAGATTTTGTCGAGCTAGGATCTTCTCTTAAATCTGAGTAAACAAAGCGATTAGTTCTCCATACTCTATAAAAAACACGTTTGCAGTAATGGTTGTGTTGCTCGGATTTAAGGCTTTTTCCAAACTACAATATTTGGTCTTGCAAATTCAACAATGATGCTACATATCGGAACATATGATCTCTGAAAGACAGGCACAAGTGTCGTTAAATTTAAACAGAAATTACATTAAAAACCTTTTCTAACCAGTTTAAACCAGAAATAAAAAGTGCATAAGTGCATGTCTGCAGATGAAAAATTAAGGTTTTTCTTTTTTTTCACAGGGAGAAAGCGGACCCCGTGGACCCTCGGGAGTGAAAGGTAGCAAAGGTGAAAAGGGAGAAAGCCTAAGCATTAAAGGTGATAGGGGTCAGAAAGGTTTACCCGGACCTAATGGATCACCAGGTGCGCTTGGATTTCAAGGACCAGCAGGACCTCGTGGACAACCAGGTGCTCGAGGTGACCCTGGTGCCAACGGACTACCAGTAAGTCGTTTTAGCGTCTACTTGAAAAAAGAACAGCCCAATTGTTCAATCCGTTCCTCTTCAGTCATGAAAAGATTTGCTAGTCCTTTGTTAGATAGGATTTGGTTCTGGCCAGTGCTGAAAGGAAGCCTGCCGTTGTCGTTGTTATTATGCCTTTACTAGTAGTTAATTTTACTAGAAGTTGCTGCCTTTACAAGATTGCCCGCTGATTGTATGAGGCCGTCTTGGCAAACCACTTTCCTTACAACAGCATTTACTTTTTGTGGTTTTTCTCGTAAATTTAAAAAGCAACACATTTGCAATAATAGTTTTCCACTTCTAAGGGTTTTTTATTTATTTATGTTAGGGTGGACGCGGACCTAAAGGAGACCAGGGACCCTCAGGTGAAGATGGTTTGACTGGAGACAAGGGGGAGAAAGGAAGTCCCGGGAGGGGAATTGATGGAAGAAAGGGTGATAAAGGAACTAAGGGTGAAGTTGGGGCAGCTGGACAAACGGGCCCAGAGGGACCAACCGGACCGAAAGGCAAGTATTCTTCATTATCTATAACCGGTTTGTTTTCTACAAAAAGCTTCTGATGTGGACAACATTGTACTTTTGAATTACCCTAACTCAGGGAATGGATGTCAGTTCGTCCTTAAAGACGCACTCATACCGCTAGCCGTGGAACTTCCGAAACTACTAGAGTTTTCTAATAAAATTAATTTATTTTTTATTCAGACCTGGCTGACATTTG